CTTTCTTATATTTTTATTTCCACTAGAAAGCATTTATCACGTAATTTGTTTATATTTGATTCGTAACAACTGACTTACAGATTAAGATTTCCCTACAGAATGAATTATGTTATTGCCTGAAAACCAACGAACAATTTATAAGAATGTCCAGTGACTTTTATTCGCATAAAAATAATTGATTTCATCCCTGGTTATCGAATATCGGATCGGTTAGAAATCACGGAGCCTCTAACGATATAGATTACAATAGAAAGTTTCACACTTCAGGAAAGGGAAGATTCTGTTGTCCCTAATTAGTAGTCGCGTTCCATTATATTTATCGCCGTACTTATTAGTCACACTAGAGAAGTAATTACCGCAGGGGGAGCGGAGTGCGAGTGAAGTTTCGCGACGTTTTCTCCTGTCACGACTGTGACGATCGCTTCTTTCTGTGCGGCGAGCGCGGAACAAAAATAAAGCGTTTAATAAAGGCCATTAGGATCGATGTATGCAAATGGGAAATAATATCATGCGCACGCATGTGTAATTGCACGCTGGTCGAACGATGTTTCGAAACAGCGACAAAAAGGTACCGGTAACATTTGCGATTTATGCTGCATAGAAAAACGATCGGTTATCCGAGTTACGTAACAAATAACTGGCGCAAATCAGATTAAGGATCGCGTATTGAACTCGTTCAGTCGTTACCGTAGCGCGTCTTACTTAAAGAAACATCCATCTTTTGTGCCAGACCGTTATCGGAGCTATGTTTGTTCGGTAAATAACCGATTGCCAATCGAATTATTTTTCTTGCGGAGAGAATCGTGTTTGTACAATATTATTTAGGGTCATTGGTCATCGGTGTATCTCGGGTAGACAGAGAACTCGTCAAACTTGACATACAGAGAGCGAGACAGACGTGTTTCCGGTTGCAAAGGAAACATTGATTCCTCCATGAAAATCTACCAGCGTAAAAATCAAATTGTATTCGCCTAAGAATTCGCCGGGCGTGTGTTTACGGTCGGAAGGTCATCCGGTTAATAGGTTAATAAACATTGACGGGCAATTAATTATCGACGGCCGGGGGAAGGAGAAAATAGAAGAAATAACGTCGGGACTCCGTGTCCCAGAGCTTTCATCGGCTCTCTCGTTTGTCCCGCGGTGAACCGTTCGTCTTTTGTTCGACGCGCGGGATGATTCACGACTCTCTGTGTTTGCAGTCGTTTTTCTTCGAGTCTCTTACCTCACTGTTCATGTAATCGCCATTGTACCGTTCCAGGCGATGGCGAGCGCGAACGCTTGGTCTTAACACGTCCGCGCCACGGAAATTTCGGTTAGATTTTCGCTTATGCACTGTATTGATTATTCTTTTAATCAAATATTAACCCTTTGCAGGGGTGACTCACTCACAATTCGACGTCATACGGTAACTATAAAATTCGATACTTAATATTATACCACGAATAATGCATCAATTTGAGAAATATTGAAATAAAATAATTTTGTTCCTCAATGTACGTGATTCTCTTCGAGTTAGTTTCATAAAATATATCTCATCAGAAAATGTTGAAATACTTTCTGTGGAAAATTTCAGAGTCCAAAGGGTTTACCCTTGTAAGAATAACATTTTTCTTGGAAATTATTTAGTTTTTCAAGTATCGCAAACATATGAGTTTCGAATAATTATTTACAAGCTTTTAATGTATATTTTTTGAAACAATCTCCAACATGAAGGAATGGTGACACTGTTGTCACGTCAGGGATGACTTACGACCGTTAAAGGTTGAGTTACATTCAAGTCTTTGGTCAACTTTATATAGATTACAATTATTTATATATCCGTGACCATGTATCATTTAAAAATATTTTCTTATATAAATTGACGTGTACCATATATGGTACACGTGACACTGAACGTGTGAAATGGTGACTTTTAAATTTTCGATCGGGGGTGCCAATCTGTTTGCCAACGCGTCTGCTGGTAAGGTGAACAATTAACCGGCACAATGCTGCGCACTTTTCTCTAGTTACGTAATTTATCGTACGAGCATCTCGCGCACGATGAATCATCGAACTGAAATTCGTCTCGTGCGTTTCGCTCTCTCCTTGTACGCGACCACGCGTCGACACAAAAACTCGTATACGCCACTGTTCAAGTTCGTGCCTATTGAGTGTAGACTATTTTTAGCGTTAGACTACGGCTGTCAAGACCGTGTTTTGATAAATACCCTTCCTTCCGGGGAAGCACGCGTGTATTTTAAGAATGTCATGTAATCGCCATCTTTGCATGCTTATCATGGTATAACGGTTTCCTTAGGGTGGGAACAATTCTTTCGGATCAGCACTTCTGAATGGTAGATGAATTTTAAATAAGTTCAGAATATATGTATCAATATTGCTAACTACCGATCACTTAACATATTTTTATATAAAGACACTTAGCTATGCAACATCGATAATTACTACAGTACTTGAAAAAATATTAAATTTGATTCGATACAAGTTGATCACATTGAAAATTATCCAATCTGTTAAACTAACTTTCACCAATTTCAGTATGAAAACCATAAGCGTGAGTTTATTAAGACTTCAATTGAGTAGTACTTCAGTTTTGCTATTACCGAATTAGCTTTAAGAATTTTTAAGTATCCTGAAGAAATCAGAAATAGATCATTTCGACCCATCTGGTAGTTCTAGTGTTAAATAAAATAAAGATGCAACGTCTCGCTGCCAAAACCGAAACGCTGATAATTGCGAAATTTTAGGTAGACGCGTATATGGATGTGGTAGTTGCATAGTGGGCGAAGAATGTTAATAGGCGTTTAACTAATATGGTCATCAAATGCGAGGGAATATTTTCGCACGCAACTGAGCGCTCGAAACGTTCCCTCAAGAGAAAAGGTATTCGTAGATTACGTTGACTATTAAATACTCTGTACAGTACTACGTTCAATTAACCCCTTGTCCTAAGATAACGAGCGTGACTCGTGAAGATTTTCAACGTGATTCAACAAATAAATATTATTCCTCTGTAATCAACTATTATACTTAACAGATTGCGCACTGGTAACGAGAAATCTCGTTTTTACATAAAGACACTTAGCTATACAACTTCGCTAATTACCACGGAATTGAAAAAAAATATAAAATGTGATTCGAATCGATTATCTATTTAAAATAGATTACATAACAATACGATATCCGAGTGTTTCTGTGTATAGTGATGTAAGTTGACCTCAGTGAAAATTAGCCGGTACGCATTGCGTTAAAAGGAAATATAGCGTAACGTATGCTTCGAATTTTTCTCTTCTTCCAATAAATTATTAACGACAAGGGAGCCGTATCGATCAGAGTTGAGAAAGAAATCATAGGCTAAAGGGTTAAAAATGGAATTCTTATGTAAAAGCGGGAACACTGTGGTGCATGTACCTTTTTCTCTGTGCAGTAATGCATCCGTCACCGAATGTTTTCGGAGGACTGAAACGTTCCTTCGACTACGAGTGACGTCACAAAGTACCGCGTCCCTTTTTCGCTATCTACAAGGGTGTCGGTTTTCATGGGACACCTGGAGTCGGTTCGTTTCCGTCACTGAATTGTATATTTTTTTTTTGGTCCCTTAAGTGTGGAGTGGGTTTCCTTCTATTGGCTTTAAGAAAATAAATGAAGTCGGGGTGAAGTAAACTAAATCTACGAGGGTCGAAAAAGGTCGAGGAAATTTATGACGCCTCTTTGTATCTTGGCTGACGACGAGTATTAGCTTATATTGTCTACTACTAATAACTGTACGCGACACAAATAGAAGATTATAAATAAATTGTAATATAAACTGAATGGAACAATGGAAACAGTTTACGACTGCTAGTGTACCGGTAAATAAACCTAGGTTATAAAAAAATCCTCGGTAGTATAGTGGTCAGTATCCCCGCCTGTCACGCGGGAGACCGGGGTTCGATTCCCCGCCGGGGAGGTAATTTTTTTTTTATTATTAAATAACCGTAATTTTTAACGATCAATGCAACAGTCTTCGGTTGCAGTAAGTTTTCGAAAATTGTGACTAAATAACAAAAAGAAATGAAAATGAGTTTCAAGAGGTGATACATTGTATGTTAACGACACATTAGTATTTTAGATGAGTACTAGTTTGTCATGCTCTTTTGCATTTTCTACGTGTCCATGAGATTGTGTGCCACTGACACGAGGAGAAAAGAAAGACTACGAGTGGCTGATTTTTGTTTGCCTTGGGGTTTTCTTATAAAACCATCCAGACTCTAATGCCCTGATTAAAAAGCGCGGCATGTAGCATTCGAACGCGAAATAAATTTGGGTTAAGGTCTCGTTGCGATCGACTGACTGCGAGGCTCTAAAAAGTCGCAAATAAAATCCATTCAGTCTTGCGTAGACGCGATGCCCATTTGCCGATACGGGAAAAACACTGTCGGGGACAATTCGAAACGCCCCTAATATTTCTCTTCGCCGATTCGGCGGGCAACAGAGGCTCGCGACGAAGGAAAAAAATCTAATTGAATTTTCACAGAACCGACTCCTCGTTCTCCCGAATAACATTTATAAACACGCTTCGGTGGCTGCTTAATGAGCATTCGTATTATGTAATCAATCGCCAAGAACGATTACAAACCTGTCCGTCACACGCAACGCGAGAGACGATACATCGCACGCGGGAAATCTTACGGCATGCACAAACATTACTCGACATAGACACGAAGACCGTATAAAGCGTTGCACCGTATCATTATCAAAATGCTAATAAATAGGCAAAAAATTGAGAACAATTTCCAACATTCAAACTTCCATCGGTTATATTACATTCTACCCAAACCTCACAGAACAATATAATCGATATTCTGTCATAAATTTCGAAAAAAATCAGCCGCTCAAACAAACGGTGGAATCAGCTTACCCCGGCAGTCAGGTAAGAAAATCCTAACCGTTCAAAGCAAGCATGAAACCGAGCGCAACGCTTTACAGGTTCTTCCCGTGACAGAGAGACGGATGACACTCACCTTGATAATCTTATATTTCTTTTTGGTAGCCTGATTCAGGTCCTCGTGCACTTTGTCGAGCAGCCACAACAGGAACTCCTGAGCGTCGTGCTGCAAGTTACCGCGGTACTGGCTTCCGTATTTGTCGACGACGCTCTTGAACGCGGTGCTCATCTCGGGATCGTACTGGCAGCTCCAGATAGCCTTCAGCAGAAGGGCCAACTGTTCGGTGATCTCGCCTTTCGTCCCGTACTTCTTCGAGTTCAATTTATTCCGTCTGGACAGATCGACCTTGTACTGATCCAGCACGAAATACTCGGCGAGTATGTCCGTATGGGAGAGACACTGCAGCACGGCGTTCATGAAACACGTGTTACCGTGGTTGCGTAAACCTATGACCCCTGGGACTCGGTCCGGCGGTATATGCGCGGGCCTCGGCGGTGGGACCCTAATGTCCCCGGCACTGGACCCGAGCTCGTCCCTATGGGACGTTTTATGATTCTGCACGGCCACGTTCGACATGTGCTGCACCATCCTGTTGATGAACTTCCTCCAGGACGGCCTGCGGAACACTTTCTTCGGGCCGATCCTTTCCGTGTAGGTCTGCCCGGTGCCGTGCAGTCGGCCCATATTCTGTTGCATGCTTTCCATTTGCTGTTGCTGCATATTGTTTCGCTCCTTGTTGCCGCTCGTCCCGCTGCTGTTGTCTTTCGAATCACGGCCAGGCTTCGGACGTCGCCGTGACATCCTAGCGTTCTGGAACGGGTTCCTTGGCAACGTGAACGTACGCTTCAAACGCGACGCGGACTCACGTCCCTTCGAGTCGGACAATTTAACCTCTTCCACGCCCAGCTCACCCTCCGACACCGATTTCATCACCGCACTACTGGCCTTCTCACCGTCCATCGCCGGCCACGGAAACAACCGTTCGAGCCTTCCGCCTTCCTCTTTTGCCCCCGTTCACATCACGATACGATCCGTTCTTTCACGAGACACGATCAACACCGCGCGCGGACACGTCTAGTGCATGCCGTGCCCGTCAACAACTGACCCGCGGAGAAAAAACGTCATACGCGTAACCCGCTCTCGTACGCTACGGCGGCCATTTGCCTTTTATCACGGGCTTCCACGATTCCGTGACGCCTCCGCCATAGACCATGCAATCATTGGCGGGAGGTGCGATCGTCGAGCGGTTCGAACGCCATCTGCTAGATTCAATGTTCGTTACTGGTTCGTCGATGACGTAGGGCTTGATCTCAACTGCTGTCGTTCGACAGGTTACCATTTTATCCGTTGATGGGACTGCTAAATTGAATTCTGGCAGCTTTGTAATTTGCAGGTAGTTTCAATGGAACAGTGATTATTTTATGTATTTTGTAGTGTTTGTCAGATCGCTGGAAATTATGCAATTATGAGTTCCTAAGAAGAAGATTTATTAAGTTCGAGACTGTTTGTACTGTAGGTAAACGGTGTCGTTGGATGAAATTTATGGATTGGAACTTTGTGACTTCTCGGTCTCTAGATCGGTAAGTGAGTTACCGTTTCGTACGACGAAAGTGTAGAAGATTCAGTCTATTACCATACCTTATCTGTGATAATAAATAACGAATACAGAAATTTGTTCTGTTTTTTAATAAAATGAAAAATGGAGATAATGATTGCACAACCTGAATCCGATTATGTGGTATTCTATATGCATCTCTCTTCGACAGCGATGTATTAGAATAGAAGAGACACTGTCATTTATAATTCTGTTGATTTCGTTTTGAAATATGTACAGTCACTCGCAGTGAACCTGTCGATCGCAATTTCATAGAGTGCTGATACGCAATTTGCAAATACTTCAGCATCTGCTGACTCGCTGTCGACACTGCTCGCGTTAATTGAACATTTTTGTTAACCGATCAGCAGAAATTCGTTCGCATTCTCCGCTTCAGTCACCGCGATGGCTGTCGCTGGTTATAAAATTTGTCTTTCCCTTCTCGTCGGGATTGTTGCGCTCGCGAGAAATTCTACGTGCTGGAATTTCAAAGCGGTGGATCTTCCGGAAGATGTTTTCATCCCGAGATTCGCAATTTGGCGGAATCGCGCTTTCCTGGCTGTCCCTAGGTATCGTATTCCATTCGCTGGAACGAACTCTCATTGCATTTAGTAACGCAAAGAGAAAGAAAAGAAAAAGTAATAGAGACGTTGATACCAAGATGGCAGAGAAATGGAACTGCCGAAGAAACCGGGACCTTGTTCGAAGCAGTTTGGCCGGAGTCTGGCTTCCCAGCCGTCAAAAGCAGAAAAGTATTTTCATCTTTGCACAATACGGCCAGTAACTGCCTCCGATCGGCCGTCGATGTGGACGTCGATGCTCGGGGACGTTTGTGGGTCCTGGAGGTGCCGGACAATGATGATTGTTCGGCTAGGATCGTGCTGTATAACTTGAAAAGGAACAATCAATTGGTAAGCGAAGACATCGGCAATACAAAACAAACAGAATCCTTAACACTTTGAATACCGTGGGGGTCGCTATGTATATATGACTCCAGTTCATTCAATTAAATTATTTGTAAACATTTCTATATTATAAATACTACTATCTAACGCGGCGACATTCAGCTTGACTTCTTATGCAATGGTAATAACGCGATTCAATCGAATGATTTAATATAATATTTCCTCCATTCCGTGTATTTCGCTCTATGGAATCGCGATCGATTATAATCCGTTAACCGAAAAGGTGTCATCCACTGATCTAACGAACGTGCCAACGAGTAACTTGAAAGCTCTCGTCGTCGACCGATCGGGATCCAGAGGATACGTCGGAGATGCTGGCGACGAATCCATCATAGCTTTGATGCCAGGTAAATGCTTGATTTCAAGTAAACAAATATTCGCCGATACTCGAGAAAGAACCTCTGAATATTCTAGAGAAGGAAAGATGGTGGAAGATAAAGATGATACGCGAGCCGGAAATGCCTCGGATCTGCAGCACGGATTTAGCCATCTCCAGGAAGAACTCGGTGCTGTATGCAACCGGTTCCTCCAGTCTCGACTTGTTCAGCCTGAATCTGGAAGAGTTATGGAGTCAAGGGGACAGTATATTTAACAGCGTAAGCGTAAACAAATAAACATCTCATTCCACGCTCAGCGTTTCCGCGATCTTCGCCGGAGAAGTTCCTCTTGACGTAACAAGAGAGAGGAAGGATGGATAAGCTCGAGTAAGAATTTGATTTTATGCTTGGTCAGAAATCTCGCGAGGTTACGGTGATCTGGCACGGCACCAAAATGGCCGCCTCGTCCGGGCTGTTCTGCGATGTCAAGGACGGCCTCCATTATTTCATGTCCACGGAGAGAGCCAGCGTCCGCTGGGACACGAGGCTTCCTCTGAGAGTAATTGCGCGCTCTTTTTCTACATTGACATCGTAAATCGTGCTTTCAGGAAATGATGTTCCTCCGTTTTCAGGCGGAGAGTCACTCGGTGCTCGTGCAGAACGAAGATTGCCCGTGCATAACCGACTACGCGCTGGACGGCCAAAAGAACTTGTGGGGTTTGATAAACTCGGAATGCCAACCGTCGACGGACGATTCACCGAAATGGCCTCTTAAATCTAGGACCATCAAAATCGGGAAGTATCCGACATCTTAAAGTTCGAGTTTAAGTCGCTAGAATTGTTTAAATTATTTCAATTGTGTATCGTTTGTGAATAAACCTATTTATTTATCAGCTTCCGGTAAAAGTGTTCCCATGTTTCTCAGAATTCTAGTTAGTTAATAACGAGTGGTTCCGGTATTCGAGATGAACGCTAAGTTTTTCTCGTGGAAAGCGAATTATCGCATCGGGAAATTTCACAGCCAGTAGAAATATTATAAACGTTTATAACGTTGCGCCACTTCATTCTTCGCATAAGTAATTGAGTTTTTCCGTGCATGATAATCTCTCGCGGTCGCAATTCACGTTGGCGATACTTAGTCACCGCATTAAGTAATTATACTGCCTAACCTGTTCGATAAGGCTGGCCACTGCACTGTGGCTGCTGAAACGAAAGGTGCGTGTAATTGATCTGTCCGCGCGCCGAAATGCATTACGTAAAGGAGGGTTGCAGCGACTGACGCCTGTCGTTATCGAGAACGATACTGATAAGACGAATCGCGTGGATCCAGGAGCCAGCGACTTAATCGAATTAAAGGGTATTAGATAATGGCCAGCGAGGATCGATAAGTTACACAAGAATGGCGGTTTCACTGGCGGCGCATTACTTCGGTAAAGTGGCTTTTTCTAATTACGTTCCGACCTATTTTTGTAAATACTACTTTATCTTTCTTAGCCGTGGGTAATCAAGTAATTCAACCTCTACGTTTACCTAGCTATTATGAAGGAAGACATTTTCTTGGATCAAGTGGTTCAGCAATAGAACTATCGAGCATTTAATGCGATTGATATGTAACGCATAGAAAAATTGTAACACTAGATTATTCCCAGTTTCTTCAGGCACTCATTATAGTGTTTAAATGAAGCTATTTGTTGTCAAAATCATTTCGAATGCTCGATGCTTCGAAGACATCGGTAATTGAGAAACAAAAAAGCCGAAACCGATCGTTTTGATTGGTATGATAATTCTAGTGTTACTCATGTACACGTATCTCTAACTCACAGGAAACTAACTTTATTAATCAGTTCGGATCATTTCATTTCTTACCGTCTAATAAACTGCTAATTACCTCTGATCTAATGTCGAAAAAAGTTCCAACATTTATCATTAACTTTCACTTAGCTCGACGTGTTTTCGTGATCTGTGTTCCACGCGTTTGCCCGCGATAATTATATAGTCACGGAATTCACCGCAGAAACAGGGATTATTTTCTTTTTTTGCAGGCCGTAAGTCAATCGAACGATCTGCGTTTTCATGGTCTGTGAATACGTCATTCTCGAATTCTACAGTGGATTGGACAGCAACAGGGTAATGGGCAATCTACCAAAGAGTATCGATTATTCTTAACAATTTAATGTATTTCAATTTTCGTTTCGAACACCAGGAAATCGCGCTGTTCGCGCGATCGGGTCAACGCAGCTGAAACGTCATCGAAGTTTCGTAACTGGCGACTGGTTGGAATTCGTCCAGGTGGTGTTCCTCTCGAAAGGGAGTCGAATGTCAAAGATGCCCGTCGGATCAAAGGTCATTCGATCCTCAGTATTGATCGTCGCAAGAGTTCACCAAAGGATGGAGGGAGACCGACGCGCCGGAACAGCTGACAGTGTTCTCGATGTAGTCCTGGAAATTACTCTCGATCACCCACATCAGCTTTTTGTAGCCTGGAACCACTTGCGTCGGCAATCTGCAGTCGCTGCCCTTCTGCACCAGCAAGAAGTTGTCCGGGATGAACGGGGTCTCCGTGTTCCACATGTAGACGTCCGAGTCACCTGAGAACCATTAGCGAAAACCGTCAAACGATAATTCAGAAAATTCAACTGTAAACATTCACAAACTCCACGCTCTCACTGAATTCTGCAAATGGAATCAGTGAAACGAATTCGTTAGACAGATTCGTTGGCGATATCGCAATTCTCACGAATAGCGGTGCATTTAATTAAAATGAACAGCAGAAACAGTTCAACGTGGCAGCAGAAAGAAAGCTAGCACCGCGACGAACGTGTCTCTATTTGTCCTCCATTTTCCTCACCCTTTATCCTGAAGAAAATGGCGGCTCCGTTGTCCGTGCCCAGGAACACGATCTTATTCTTCTTCAGAGCAACTTCCACGATGGATCCGTTAGCGTTCCCGGCCCTCAGATTGGTAGCTCTGATGGCGAACACCCTGTTCGAGCCCAGGTAAGTGAAATAGAGGACCTGGCTGCCGCAGCTTCTTCTGATCAGCGCCAAGTAGAGCGCGTCCCTCTTCTCCGCGCCGGAAGTCACTGCCCTGGGGAGGACCACGCGGTACCCGTTGTCGGAGGTCACGTTGTAGACGATGATAGCTCTGGTCGCAGCGTCGGACACGTACACGTACACCTGACCGTCGGACGCGTAGTCCACGGCCATGTACTGCAGACGGGAGTTCAGGTCCACCAGCGGGCTTAAGTCGATCACCTTCACCACCTGAAATCGTGTTTAGTTTTATAGTTAACACTAGATTCACGGACGTTTGCTGTTATTGTTGCTCCTAGAAAACTGTGTCGTCTATATGAATCGTTAAGCTTGTCAGAACTGGAGTATTGCGTACTCGTCTAATTGAATCAAAATTGAATATCTGTTAAATGTGGAGCATTTCTACTATACTTTTAACATTTCCAGAGGTTCTGGATATCAAAAATGTATTACAATTGTGTTAACATTCAGAAGATCTCAAGATGTTGACAAATCGAGTCCATATTCTGAGAATTAACGATTCAGGACCTTAGCAATTTTTCAATAGTAATTGCGATCTCTGGTATAACATGAATTAGATGTTTCGAAGTTGTTTAAGAAAGTTGTAATTAACTGTTGTTCGCTCACCTTTCCGCTCTTCACGTCGATTCCGACCACTTTGGGAGGACACCTGCGCACAGGTTGCTCCAAGGTGTTAACGATACCAACGTCCAGCACCCAAAGGATGTCTTGCATGTCCAGGACAATGTCAACGGCGCTTTGCAAAGCCTGGCAGTTCCCTTCTTCCTGGATTGCCCAGCAAGGGAATGGGACTACTTTCGGCGAGCAGCTTCTGTCCTTCAGCGAAACAGCGCCGAGGGTGAACGGTACGCCGGGTTTGTAGCGGGGCATCGCTAAGATCGCTTGGCCCTTGTACACTTGCATCCTGGTTGCGATCACGTTCTTCGCGATGTACCGGCCACTGGTCTCGTAGATGTTCTTCGTGCTTTGGCAAGGCCAATCCAGAGTTTGTCCTGATAGAGTCACTGACAGGTCTTTCAGTAACAGGTTCGCGTTAGCTACTGACAGGATTCCTAGGACGATCACGAACTTCATCGTGCTGACCTGCGGAAAAAGTGATCGGCAAGTGAATGATAGTATCAGCAGTGATTGTGTAAAGAATTGTGATCAGTGGATGATTATTTCGTTACTGATGCTAGTATTTTTGTGAAAATAATAGAGAAGGTACTAGGTTATGCCTAGAACGATTGAAGTTTCAATTGTTCAGAGACTATAGTTGATTTATATTTGTAGAGGAATGTAATACTCGATGGGTTGATGTAGATTCAAGTGAAGACAACTTACGCGATTATCGGTAGATATTGAACGAACAAGATCGAATGTGCCGAGATTATAATCGACTGTATGCTTATATACACACGTGGACTGGCAAGTTCATAATTCCTTGGTCGTGTATATTTGTATATTCGTAAAGCGAGAGCTTCCGCTGTCGCAACGCTTCCGGTGCTCGCAAGGCTGCACGAGGTCCAGGAGACAACAAGGAACCGTGTTTTCCTCTTGTTGTTTGGTAAACAATTCCGAACATTTCTGCGTTCGTTAATTACCAATGCCACTACTTAAACAAGCATACTTGATCTGATTACTTTTATCATCTACATTGATAAATGTGATCGATAAATGAACAACAGTATAAATCTCAAATAAAATTCCATGAAGTTCTCCTGTTTTAAAAAATATCGACAATCAATAGATAACTCCCATAGAATCGACAGATATTTATCTATAAGTATATACTTCGTTTAGAGTAACATTTCATCGATACAAACCTAAAATAATCGTTCAATTTAGAGTACGCAAATTTTCGTTTACCCTCCGAACGTGACGATCACAATTGTTTACTGTTTACGCACGTTTCCCGTCCGGATAAAGAATTCTACTGGTTCCTCTTCCGAGTTTACATATCAGTGGACAGCAGGAAGCGAAGCGAACGAGAGCGTTTCGACAGAACAATAAATATTTTGGTAAACTCGCGTTTCGCAACAAGATCGAGGCTCGTATATAACTGGTGAGATTGATAATGGTGATCAGTTCAGTCGAGCTCGATCGACAATAGCTTGTTTCGTAAGTTATTCACAATGTTCTTCAAGGGCTGCTGCATCCCCGCGGTAATGGCGATCTGCGTCGTCGCTTCTGCGTTGGCTGAGGAAGAGATCATAGTTGTTCCCGAAGAGGAAGTGGTGGCACCGAGTGCGAGCATCAAGTGGACAGGAGGATCCTTCGAGTGGCCGTGTCCTACAACGAAGAGCATGTTCAAGAACAACGGAAAATATATCTCGAAGAACGTGATCGCGACTAGGGCTGCCATCTACAACAACGACGCCATTGTGGCGCTTCCTAGGTATAATTCGGAAGATGAATGTTTCCATTGGAAATCGAATAACGATCTAGAAGCTTTAGTCAGAATTACAATTTACCATTTGTCAGGACTGTCAGACGATAAATTTTTATCTCCAATCTGAAGGAACAAGTGCGACAAGGACAGTCCAAATAAATTCAGTAATTTTATTACATTTCTCAAACGTAGTGTCAGTGGATTGTTGAGACTGTTGTGATTAAAATAATTCAAGCAGGATATGAATTTTGCACTTGCGCCTTCAGTTCAAAGCAGCAGAGAATTGTCGATCAAAAACGAACGAACGTTTAAGAAGATGTTATTTGAATTTGTAGATTTAAGGCAGGAGTGCCAGCAACGTTGGCCAAGATCTCCCTGAACGACCCTAACTGCCAAGCCACCTTGGTCCCCTATCCCTGCTGGTCGGTTCAAGAAGAAGGGACTTGCAGTGCCTTGCAGAACGCCGTGGATCTTTACCTGGATCCACAGAACATCCTCTGGGTCCTCGATACTGGAGTAGTGAACACTCTAGAGGAGCCTGTCAGGAAATGTCCACCGAAAGTCCTCGCGTTCAATGTTGCAACTGGAAAGGTAAGTGTCTGGATTTCTTTAAAATATATTAAAATATATTAAAGTAGTTAGAGATAAGTATACAGTACCGCGAGACAGTTTTGGTTCGATTTCTATTAAGCGTTTTATTTTATTATAATGAGCGTGGTCCAGTTAGGTGTACCTCGTAGACTTGGTTCACGACATAACAGGTCCTGACGCGTGTCATTCTGAGGCAGATTTATTATCGGTGCTTCGTGCGCGTTGCACAATCTGAATTTTAAATGATCCGAGGCCGGCACGTCAACGACCGAGCGCAAGTGTATAAGGAATAGTTGTTTCGGTTATTCTCGGGTTCCCTGAAACCAATTGAATAATAGATAAATATTTCGAGTGGCATTCTATTTGATCACACACGAATTGCTTTCGCTTTAATCACACGTGAATGCAGTCGAGTTTCATTCTCTGTTTGGAAATGGTCGGGAGTACGGTGCAATTATCCGCCAGTTCTCGACTGAACATAATTTCTTGTATAATTTCTATAATCTCCTATTCATTTCACAACTGCTTTATGCACCCTGGAAACCGTTAACACAGCTCCCTCGAAGAATTCTACTTTATTGCTCGTATTCAAGGCGGCTACCTTGACACACTCTGTTAGGCAGAAAGTAATTTCAGGATTACTTTACACTTCACTCTACATTTTATCGCCTTCGTAAACAAGCTATTACACGAAGCGTATTAGAGTAGCAATGTTGCGCGCACGTACTCTCAAGTAGCTACGAAATTATCGCGAACAGTCGCAGTGCAAAAGCGTACCTATCGGGACTACACAGTAGCGAATTTTCTAATATCTCAATTAAAAAACTCTATCTCTCTCACTACTATTAAAAATCCAACAGTTCCACTTCCCGTATTGTTCTCATTACAAGAAAAAATCGAAAATTGCAACAGTACTCTAAAACCAACAAAGATGAATTATCCGTTACCCAAACCTTATAGGTTTCGCAATGAAAATTCACCCGTTGGCAAACCAAATTCCTAATACACCTTCCAATAAAGTGTTCGATTTCCAATTAATATTTGACGTATTTCCGAATGAAACATACACGTAGAAGTACTTGATTTGCGAAAGGTTGAATCCAACAAGCCGAATTTGACACGCAAAAGAAATATATCTCTACCCGACTATCGCCAACCTATCCCAAAACTCCCAGCGACCCCTCCCCAGAATACTAATTCGATGCTCCCTTGGTGATCGCAGAAATCACTCACATCCTCCCTCATTTCTGCCGCAGCTGGTGAAGACGGTGGACCTGTCCGGTCTGACGAGTCCGATGTCCCGGCTGCAATACGTGGTGTCGGACTACAGCCAGGACGGGCGGGTGTTCATCTACGTGTCCGACGCTGCCACAAGGGCCATCCTGGTCTACGACGTGACTTTCGGCCGTGGATACCGCGTGGTCCTCCCGCAGGCGGTTACTTTGGGCTGTACCCGTCGAGACGTGTTGTACCTTGGCCTTCTCCGTCGGTCAGACGGCAGCACCTGTTTGGTCTTCACCTACCTGAGCAGCAGCAGGCTGTTCTCGATCAGAACCGAGCACTTGAGAAATGGCTACGCGCACGGCCGTATCCACGATCTTGGCCCCAAGCCGAGGAAGATGGTCCTCTTGGGCACAGACAACGGCAGCGCCCTCTTCTTCCGCTACGAGGGCGAGTCAGACGTCTACAGGTGGGACGCCGGCAATACCTTCGATCCCCGCAACTTCCAGCTGGTCTACACCAGCCCAGAATGCTCCCTTGCGACTCATGTGGCCGCAGATTACGCCAGAAGCAGGATGCGAGTGCTAGAATCCAACTTTCCCGATTATATGCAAGGAACCGTTGGTTGCGGCGCTAGCCAGGCGCTTAGTCTTATGTAACTGTCTGCTAGACAGTTGGGTGTCGACGAGATAAACCCGTGTTGATACGGAATCTATTTTGCGTCTTGTTTTCTTTCTTCCTCCTTCCTTTTGGCGATAACAGGACATTTGGGATTGACGGTTGATCGTGTCTGGGAGTCGAATTCCTTGGTCTTTTAATACTTTGAGGGTAGTTTAGGAATTTCATTCGTTTTACATGGTCTCTGCGATATATTCGTTAGATTTTCGGTATATTTTGGTAAACCTTTAAAGAGGATTTTACACGCTACGATTGCCGGAAGCGTAAGGATTATTCCGATTTGCGAATGTTCAGTTTATTCGGGGTGCCACAGTATTTTTCCTTCATACGTGGAACCAAGGAAAACGATCGGTGTCCCGATCAGTGGAACAAGAAACGTGCCGACGTATTCTTTTGTTCGCCACTACGCACGCTACCGATCGCCAGCCAAGTCAGGCACATAAATCAAGATGCAAATCGTTCCGCGATGTCGGTCGTGTGGCTAGTGCACAGGGGAACCCGGCCGATAGAAAAAAAAGAAACGGAACCTTTCCCTCTTACAATCACTGCCGTGCAGCGGTGTTCGATCGTGATTAGTCGCTCGCTACGTGTAACAATCCCGTTTCAATTCGATGGAGTATAATTCACGTGGAACGTTAAACAAAGGATAAAAACACGGCGGAATATGTAATTTACCCGCATTCGGGGGATCGCGAGTTATGCGAGGCTCGCGGTCGCAGGTGATCGAGCCGACCGGATACGTTGTTCGTTGGGAATTTGCTGTTTTACAACTTCGTCCTTTGTCGAAAGAAAAGTACGATCGACTCTCGGTGGAGCTGAGAATCGTTTTAAATTCGTTCTGATGTGTATACGGTGTCGATCTCATGATTCTATTAACCTCTTGCGCTGGAAAGACGTACCACGTGATGTTTTTCTTCCAAAATTACCAATCACAAACATCGATAGTCTAATTGCATCAGGTATACTAGCTTGCTTTGAAATATATCACTCTATACACAATTATTGATAAATAAAATTAGTCTACACACAAGTGTAGAGTGTTTGCCAAATCTCTGAATAAAATTCCAGCGCGAGAGGTTAACCATTAATCATTGAATTTTCCTCGAACTGTTGGCGGGTCAAGAAATATACGTTTCTAAAGTTCATTTTCCGCGTTGGCTCTGATTAATTTTCTTTTCGCTGCATTTACAAATCCACTGCGAGTATAGAAGAAACGAAGTACACTTTCAGATTAGTATTTCATTGGAAACTGCGACACTACTCTTAATCATTCACGCGATATCCTCTGGTTTCACGATTCGTTTCCAAAAGAAACCAGAGGAAAGAGATTACTTCTCGACACTCTTTCATCTAGGGCAAAACCTTCAGCCGTGTCGGATTTCTTCGAAACAGGGAATGCTACTTTCGATGGAAACCGATATTCCAGATCGAATTTGGTTCTCGGATCGCCGTCACCCGGAACTGAGAAAGTTTCAGCGTATAGCGTTACATCTCCGGCACGTGTTCCCCTCTCCTAATCGTCGCGCGTATTAATTACTCTTCGGAAACAGTCGCAGCGCAATGAACGGAACAAGGAATCCGTGTTTCTCGGCGCACACTCCATAAAATCTCGATCGTGTGCGTAGCGTCGTTCTGCGAAACGAATAATCGGTTTAATTTATGCGTTCACGCCCACTTCACTCGAAAACAGTTGAATTTATGGCTTCATTCCCGGATAAATAATTCACTGTGCTTCGGTGGTCAAATGGCAACATTAGTTTTAATTGGAAACGTTGTTGCGGAAAATAGAAATCCGGCGCAGAAATGCTTGTAACGTTATTTAAACGTCAGTTCCTTAATTAAAATCATAAGAATTTCGAAAATCATGTAACAAAACTTTAATCAGTCTCGTTTGCTGGTTTAGTTATAATAACAATTACTTGGAATACGTACGGTGTTGCTTCCTTAACTGAAAATTCCTTTTTTGAAAAATTAGATTCAGAAGATAAATTAACACTACGTTTACGGACGTTTATCCTATACTTTATTCTATTCGTTCTAGAAAATTATGCGTTTACATAGGTCGGAAAATTATAGCTTCGAAGCTGGAGTATTACGATGCGTGTTCGCATGATTGCACGAGAAAACTTTTTAACTGATATTTAAAAAGTTAAGTATCCCTCAGATTGACGGGTGAATATTCAAAGAATCGTTCGCTTGAGTTTTTACGCCAATTACGTGACATCGGCCGTTGTTCCCGCCGAATTCCTCGTTCCAACTCGTGCAAGACTGATGATCATAATTTCGTTAATAAATTCCTCGCAACGTTCGATGGGCGTACACCGTCTCTGTTGAAACGTGTCTGATTATAGACAAGAACGAAAAACGGCAATGACACGGCACCACTGAAAGATCAGAACCGTAGACCGCGTGCAACGCTGCCATTTATGGCGGTCAATTAAAGCGATCGCGCCGTCGTCGAATATTAACGTAGCCGGACCTCGCTATTATTATGACATTAAACGAAGCGACGCGTGACTGGACACGCCGCGAGAACATTATTAATTGCACAATATACGTAAATCAAACATCGACCGCTCCACGAAAGATCTTTCTTTCCTCTCGATCGAGATACCGGTAAGTCAGTTTCGATTTAAATTAGAAGCCGTATCGTTCGGCAAATCAAGCTTTCCAAATTAATAAAATTCCAATGACATTCAAATAATTAACATTCTGAGGCACAAGTCGAGTCGAAAGTTTCCTTGTTTAGTAGACGGTGGAATTATTTCTATGTACTACGTATGTCCACGGTCTAATTATGATTTCGTGTACTCGGATGGCAATAGAATGCGGACCCGTTTCATTAACAGAATAATGTCGGCTTTTTGCCAAATACGACACTGTCGGTTGGTTTCGACGGAGTAATTGGCCAGCTGCGGGTAATAGGTAAAAGAGAAAAATAAAATCATGCACACTATGGTACACTTTCTCTCGATACTCTGAATTATGCCGTGCGCGGCCCCGGTTTGTCGTCGACCGCCATTGTCGATTACAACTGCCTTTACATGCAGACCGCCGTTAAAAATGGAGTTACAGTATCAGAGGCATTCATATATTTTACTGATCGTTTAATTGCGCTGTAAATGCATCATTTAAAAATATAGGTAGAATACATATCAAATATAATAGGAAATAAGAACAGTATCTTTGAAAAATATTTTCTCCAGCCATAGTGGATGGAACACGTTGAGGCGAAACTTAAATGGTTTTCGATATGCTAATCATAAACAGAAAGGTTTGTTGAACGCAGTTTGCTAATGATCATGTTGAGCACTCAGCTGATCCGCGATTTCTCCAAGTGGTCGCGACACACGCGACGCAGAGGTATCTGATACGCTGACAAAAAGGTCCGCGTGCAAATGTTCGATTTTTGACCGTGAAATTATCCGTGCGTGCCGTGTATCCACTTTGTACCGTCGATTGTATCATTGTCCTATTCAACAACGTCTTGTTAACCCATCATTTTTTTCTATTCGACATCTCGATCGTCCGCGAGATTAACAGGTCAGTTCGCTCGGCGAGCTATTATGTTCCGCAAACTGAATCGGTTGAACGTATTACACGATAGAATATCGTCGGTACTGTTTTCCTTGCGAACGCGTTCGGAAACCATAAAGCTGACAGGGTAGGTTTATAAATTTCTGAATTCAATTGACTTCGCCGCCATTCGCCGATCGCGGACTGATTAATCTAACCGTCATCCTCGAATCACCTTCGCGCTGTTGGTTCAACGAACATCGCAACAAATGTAACGACGCATTGAATACTTTTTAGTTTTAGTAATTCCTAGTTTCGCAATCGAGTTTCTAATTAGACCGGAAGAAACGTGTTCTAGTCGTTGAAAATGCTGCTCCGTCTTACGCAACGGAAAAAGTTTGCAAATATTGGAACTGATATGAAATCATTGTAACATGGAATACGATGAATGCCAATGAGCAACCGAATCTAAACGCACATGCACAGAACGTCCGCATTTTAGTTGGCTAAAAAAGTAAGATTCATTGAAATGTTCTATTCGAAAAATGTGAAATCGAAGAATCGAGACTTCAAAGGATGTGAACGTTTATGTAAAGACGTTAGTTCGTAATTTTTTTCATAGAGTTCCTGCTCGAGCAGCATTAATTTCGAGAAGAGATAACGTCGGTGACGTTAATTGCTGCAGCGACACTGTATATCAGTTCGCGCGAGATTTATATTATTATTTGGTGAGCGTTGTTTATCGCGGTACGGTACGAACAACGTTAATAGCTTGCTCGCGTTGCACGACAATGTGGTGCATGGTCGAATGGTTGCGTTCGAACTTTCCACTCCGGGCACACGTGTACGTGGACGCAGGTTAAGCCCAAGCTATTATGGCGGACGAAAAAACGAATTCAGCACAGAAATGTATCGTTCGGACTGTTCGCCCTATCTAAATACCAACAGCCCGCAAATTGTTACGAACATTTTAGGTGTAATGGTCCGACAACGTTCATTTAGAGTAACAAGAAATTACGCAACGACACATTTCAGGCGACCAAGACTTATAATTTTATCGGAAGTTTTTGATTTTTTGTCTTTATAGGTTAGACAACTTTTAATTTAATTGACGCGACTAAAATCGCCGCCATTTAAATACTTTTCAGAGTATGGATAAAGATTGTCGATGGAATGAAAAGGAAATATTTTCGAAGAGAACCGTGAGAGCCGTCATGTTTGTGGTATACAATATGGCCGCCATCTTGTCGGTCGAATGGCTCAGTTCGCCGTAGAGATGAGCCGTTCTTTCACTGAAATGATTAATTCCAGAGAATGGAAAGTAGAATATTTCCGTGGAATTGTATACGCAAGGAAATAGTTAAATGATTTAGCATTGATATTTAAGAGTATTCGATCAGATAAAGTAAATTATAGGCAGTGAACGATTGAGTTGATTGGCGTTGTGTATCTTGCATTTTTCCGTCGAAGTTGTCTGTAACTATTACCAATATCACACTGAATTCAATCGAGATCGCACCTTGAGCAATCATACAGACGTAGACAGCAAGATATCATGGCTTCCGTGGGACTGTCCGCGATCCACTTGTGGCGATTCCCATGATATTTCAAGTCGCCCGACTTGCGCAACCCCAAAACGCTTTATTCTTCGATAACGGCGGTGCCTTGTTAACACCGGGAGAATAATTTTGCGCAACGATAGTTCCGTGCCGCGTTATTTCCTTCGACCGCGATACGAATCGAGTTTGGCGGCTCTTATTGCGTTAATTTCATTCGTGCCGCCTTGATACGCGTGTTGTGTGCAATGGAAAAATGATTTTTGCATGCTACTGTAATATACAACTCACATGAAACATTGGTCGAAGGAAAGTTTTGAAAGTTGTTATTGAATAATAGAAAAGAGGAATAGTAATACCGAAATAAGGTTAATCGCATTCGAGACTAATGACCTGCGTGGGCTGCAGATTACAACGAAATTTACAGTAAGACACGATACACCTACATAATTCTACATATTGTATTAAATTGATAAGTATTGAAATCAGGTTTCCTTATTTTTATATTCTTTACTTTCATTTATTCGTTATTATAACTGACGCAAACGTCGCTGCTCGCTGGATATAACTTTCTTTGCAGGAGTCTACTTTAATCCGCGAAATATCTGTGGCTCGTAAGTAGTACTTCTCTCTATAACGTGCTAAATATAAAATCAAGTGTACAATTAAAGCACTACTTAACACGGCAAATGAACTGATCAATGCAGCGATTAAACTCAACCGTAGTATCCCGGCAGGTCATTACGATTGGTACGAAGAAAATGGCAATTGAGCCAGCCGGAGATAGTGGTAAATGTTATGCGAATGACCTTGGTAGGTAACTCGTATCGAAAGTCCCCGGAACTGCAGACCGCACCCATCGTTGCCAATAATTCCCGACGCTTTTGGCCATTGTCCGAGGACCACGCAAACCAAATATCGAAATGTAGGTGACGGTTACGTAAGGACTATTTTTTTTATATGGCGCACGTTCACTTCGTTCGCCCTTTTCATATAAATTCTCATAGCTGGACAGCTTCCTTCTAAAATAGTACTTATCTAATCGAGTGCTATTTGATCGGATTTACTTTCTGTTACATAATACTATTCCTAATTCTAGAAGATTGGTTAAAAATTAAATGTCTTGAGTATTAGAATATTTTTCGAAGATTTGCACAAAATGGGAGAGTTTGAAATTTTAGAAAATGTTTGTATCGAATGAATTTATTAAAATTCTCGAGTAGCGAGGTACTAGAAAGGGATGAAACGAGTATAATACGGCCGCCATTTTGGAATCTTCCAACGTAGCAAAATGGCGCCGTCCCTCGCGTATTTAAACAGATTTCCAACGAATTTTAGGGTGGACCAAATACTTCTGAAGTTTTTCAAATGCTTTAAACTATTTCTTGCATGTGAATTGCGTAGAAAATCAGAGAATTCCCAAGAAGTCTATCGACGAGGACTGTTTTTCACCCGAAGCACATTAGACTCGAAATTCCTCTAACACTCACCCGGATTATTGTCCGATCGCTGCGTTCCAGTCGGCCGTTATCCCTATTCCACTGTTGCGAGTTCCGAATACTAGTCTTTCTGTCTAGTGTTCAGTGTAAATCACTTTCTCCGGCGCGGTGTGATCCATATCTGGCGCGTTACCTCATCGAAGTCCTGAACTTCGAAGCATTACCTTCATCCTTGCAAGCATTCCCCTCGGAATGTGGCAAACTATGATTAATCAATCTTCATTATAACTTCATGATCGATACGGCGCCAGCTACCGTGTTACGTGTATATTCACAGTAAAAGCCTCGTTTCACACCGTTCGAATTTAATTGATCAATGCACACATGCTTTCTATACGAAAGGAAGTTCTCTTCCCTGTTATATTCTAAAGAAATAACTATGCACAAAAATCACTTTCGCCAATTACTATGCCGATCGGAATTCCACACGAATTCTATCAATAAATTACAAACGCGAAGTCTACGTTTCCTTAGCGCCTTCATTTTCCAAAACCACAAGTTTAATCGAGTAATCCCAACAATCGATAGAGAAATTCAATACTTACCATCGTTGTCCACAAGAATTCAATAACTTATGGTTTCTCACCATCACACCGATTCCAGTAACATCCCCGTGTCACAGAAACTTCAACACTCTGATCATCAACACAGAATTAACGCGTTTATCATTTATTCATGAAAAATAGAGCCCTCGCGCGTCACAGTTCCATCCCCTGCATCGTTTCCCCGGACTTACGATAGGAAATCAGGGGATATGATAATCGGCTTGCTCAATCCGCTCAAAGTTGCAGACTCTCGTAGGAGCAACAGCACTCGCCTCGATTGTTAACCTTTCGGGGGGAACGGTGACCGGGCGAGGTCTCACGGAGCCACGGCTGTCTGAATGTCACAAAAGATTGTGGAACGGCCCCGCGCGCGGTGGGTGTGTGCACCGGGCGCACCGTCGAGTGTGTGGTTACACAATATTGTCCATTTTACCTGTAAGGTTGCCTCCTGTCTCCCAGACAGCCGGGAAATTAGATCAGTCGGTGTTCAGACAGCGGGACTTGGTACACGTTCGCCGAACGGGCTTGCAGCTAGTTCGCGTTTCGCCGCTAGACGCGCCGAGTGGGCTCCTTCGCCGCGAATCGGACCATTTCTGCCCATCCTCCTGAAATCCCAGCGAGATGAGGTTCGTTCCCATTTCACTTAATTAACAATCTAACGTCCGCTTCTGTGGACTCGCGGTTTCATCGATAACGTTCACAGTGACCCGCGGTTTTCCTTGATTCTTAGATCAGATCGTGACTTCTACTTTTTCCCTTTGTCTCTTCTATGAGACAAGATTTTAGAAATGCAGATATTAAGTTTATAGTAACCAGCATTTGTTTTCGAATTTTGAAATAATTCAGTGCTAGAAGCTTGATCGATGGCATTCGATTGTCGCGAATGGCACAGGGTGAAGTATAGTCAACTGGGGGTTGCAAGTTTAGTAAAAGCATCGAGTGCCATTGCAGCTCTTCGATAAGGAACGATGAATGCTACGTTTACGAGATCGGTTACGAGATCAGACTGGACGACGTGAATCGTTAATGGGAATCGTAGCATAACGCGATACAATTGTTTAGTCTGAAACGATCGCAAGACGAAGGGAAAGGAACGGTAGTCTGCAAATGGTGTAACATTTAGAAAAACGACCGCAGGGATTAGTGACATTCGAGTCCGAGTTGCACTCGTCCGCGACAAAAAGTCAATCCCACCGGGAGGCTGAGGCCGTGACTTTGTTGAAACAACTTTCGATTGCGTTTATGCTCCAATAGATCGAAAAATCATGGGGTTCCGAACCTGTTCTTGCGACGATCAAACAATTCACGAAATTGATTTGCATTACATTCTGAACTCGTCGTCACTGTATTGTTCTTCTGTATTAACACTAGACTCACTATACCAATCGAAATGATTGATTTCCCCTTAATCAATAGGGTAATTATTAACCCTTTGCACTCGAGAATATTTTTTTCAAATATTCATTACTTCCTGATGAAATATCAACGATATTTTTTACAACTAACATAAAGAAATACTTTATATAAATTAAGCAATTAATTACATTACATAAAATTTAATATTGAGTTTTAAATTTTATAATTTTGTTCGGTCAAATCAAATGGCGACTGTTCGAAACGACTTCGACTATAAATAGCTTCACTTAACGAACGTCCGAAGAAACTGGAGACAATCCATTGTTAGAATTTTTATAGGGATTATATATGAATCGTATCGAATGCTCGGCAGTTTCTGTATCGGTATACAAAGAAGCAAATGTCACCGCGCGTGACACGCCTTAGCGACTATACGATCCGGGCCGAGATAAAGAATCTACATCACTACCGGTCCCAGCATAGTTTCCAGAGCGCTGGTCGTATAAATATTTACTATCAATAGTCACGATATCAAGCCTTATAAGTCTCGCGCGAAAGAAGTTCTTTGTCTTTCTAATTGGTGATCGGTAACGGGTATTGAAAGCAACTTGATTCGTTTGCCCCGATAGGTCCGTTACGAAATTGCCGTGCGTGCGCGCAAAAACGCACCCGTACATTGCTGAAACGCTGAAATATCGAGGCGGCAATTGGAAATTCAATGATCTGATCGTAAAGTCCGCGGGAAGCGATGGAAATATTGATTATATCTTTCACATTCTACGATTATGGGCGTATTAATGCATAAAATACTGTGTGCATAAGCTGATTTTTTTCTTTACGCAACACGAGATTCACGCAACTTTCGAGCCGTTTCGAGTCGATAGTAGATCGTTAACGGGACCGCGGGCATTCGCACTCGTTATCCGGCTTCTAATTGCGCGATCGGGAACGTTCGCGAAAACGAGACGAGATCGACGGGCACGTTGGCGCGCGCGAGCGCGGTCTGCTCTCTTCATTTGCATACGTCTCGAGTTCCAGACCGGAGGTAAGGCGGAAACATCGGATGGGTTCAAGATCAAGTTCACAGAACGGAGGCGAGCCCCGCTATCGATGAATTTGCGTTTTAATGAGTTCTGATTATTTATGGAAATGTCGATGCAGGAATTAGATAGAGGAAATTATTCCTCGCGATGATAATTTTGTTATTAAGGCTACTGTCAAAGTTAATTAAATGCTAGAAGCGCGATTTTTATTGTGGTTTTCGAGTAGAAAGTTAACGGATGGTAGTATTGGATAATGTTATTGCTTAAATGGTACTGAGTTTCTGGGAACATTAACGTCGCGCACAAAAGAGACACGCGACAGTTATCGCGCACTCGTTAATGGACGTTTGGTCAACATTATGTTAGCGAACACCGCGATCTGCTATTGTATAGGACGTCTGAGAAGATCGCAGTCTTGATACGACTTGCCATTCAAGAATACAGGCGATTTTCACGCCAGTAGATAACAATGTTCAAGATAAATGACGCTTGAGGAGCATTGCGTGGTCTAGTGACGATAGAATTATTTTCATTCTTATGTCTGTGTATAGAAGATTAGAAGGTGAACGAAAATTGGAAAGTTAGACAGTTGAAGCAGTGGAAAATTAAAAGATTTAGTATTTCAAAGTTTCAAAATTTCAAAGTTTCGAAGTTTTGAAATTTCAAAGTTCCAAAGTTCCAAAGTTTCAAAGTTTCACAGTTTCGAAGTTTTGAAATTTCAAAGTTCCAAAGTTCCAAAGTTTCAAAATTTCAAAGTTTCGAAGTTTTGAAATTTCAAAGTTCCAAAGTTTCTCAGTTTCAAAGTTCCAAAGGTCCAAACTTCCAAACTTCCAAACTTCCAAACTTCCAAACTTCCAAACTCCCAAACTTCCAAGGTTTCAAAGTTTCACAGTTCCAAAATTCCAAACTTCCAAAGCTCCAAAGTCCAAAACTCCAAAGTCCCAAACGTCATAAACCCAAAAACTCGAAAACTCGGAAATTGATTCCATTACAGGATCCTCGTCATCCTCCTAGCGTGCTCCGCTCACGCAGAAATCTTAGAAACGATAGCGCAATGGCCGCTCCTCGACTTCGCGCTCCCTTACAACCAGGAATTCATGAATCGATTTCGTCCGGAGAGCGTGGTGCCCACTGGGATCACCGTCGGCTCGGACAGGGTCTTCATCAATGTTCCAAGGTTGCGTGACGGTGTGCCGTCGACCTTGAACTACATACCGAGGAACTTCCCGCTGGGCGGCAGCCCGCAGCTCCAAGCTTATCCATCTTGGGACTGGCACGTCGCTGGCATAGGGGATCTAAACTGCTCGAGGATGATCTCCGTGTACAGGTCTAAGATCGACGCCTGTGACAGGCTCTGGGTGATCGACAGTGGCGTGATCACTTCGATCGACGACTTCAGACCCGTCTGCCCACCGAAAATATTGCTCTTCGATTTAGCCACCAATTTCTTATTGCGCATGTACACGTTCCCGAGGGAGGTAGGTACTTTTCTATCCGACTAATCATTCGGGCTAATTTTTCTTCGAACGCGCTCTTCTCTTTATCATAGAAATAGGTGGATTTTAATCCTAATTTACTAATTAAGTAAAGGACTAATTTATATCTAATTTGATTCTTAAGGTTTGAGTGTAACACGACTTATTCATTCTTTTATCAAAGATCGAGGGTTGTATTTCGAATGTTCTTCAGGTGCTGAGACCCAACTCGTTGCTGACCAACGTGATACTCGACGACGTCGGAGCCACCACCTGCGACGACGTGTTCTTGTACATCTCCGACACTGCGGGAGCCGGTGTGTATATAAAAAGAATGAACTCCTTCGAATCCTGCTTCTAACACAATGACATTTCCGTTAGGTATCGTGGTGTTCGACAGCGTCAACGAGAGGAGCTGGCGGGTAGCTCACCCCTATATGTTCCCTGACCCAGATTTCTCTACTTATAGAGTAAGATTAATTCTACTTCTCATTACCGAACCATTCCTGAATAATCCATAAATCAATGTTCGTTAGAATCTGCGTGTCGCGAGAAGATTGGGTCGATTATTCTAATAAATCTTCACTGTCCGAGCGTTGTCTCGTTTCGTAGACATGCCATTTCTTGATTAGATCTCGTATAATTCTGTTCGTCGATGGAAATTCAGAGAGGAAACGTATGTTTCAGATTGGCAACAGCATGTTCGAGTTAATGGACGGCATCGTCGGCTTAGCGTTCTCGCGCAGACAGGGCGTAGTGTACTTCCAACCCTTAGCGACGGACCGTTTGTTCAGCGTGCCAACCTCGGCGCTTCAGGCGGGTCCTCTTCCGTTCGGCGAACAGTTGCCGGTCAGGTTGCTCGGGAGAAAGTCTAGTCAAGGTCTCGCGTTGGCCGTCGATCCTACCGATGACACCGTCATATTCGCGCCGCTGACGGAAACCGCCATTGTCGCGTGGCAGCCTGACACTAGACTGCATAGGTATTTACCATTTTCATCCTTCTCGTACCGTATAATTAACTCTTTGCACTCGGGAGGTGACTCTCTCGCCGCTTGATTCGACGCAGAACAATTATAAAGTCTGATATTTAACGATGATCTTTGCGTAATGCCTCGATACGTGAATATTGGAATAAAATAGCTTTGTTCCTTGCACTTGTGATTTCCCTTCGAGTTAGTTTCAAATCGTCACCTCGTTAAAAAATGTTAAGTGTTTCTAGCGAGAAACTTCCGAGTGCAAAGGGTTACATAGGTCAAAGGTCGAGTATAATAATAAACCAATATCAACGAATAATGACAATTTCTACCAAACATCTGCATTTCTTTAATAAACCAAAGCTATTCATTTAATCGAAACATTCGTTAGATACTGATATAAAGTTTAATTTAATTAACAGATCAATGCCGCCATAGCGAAGATCATTTTGTTATTATCACTGTCATTCTTGTGATATTTATTATTTTAGCTATTTTATCTACGCTTTGCCACAGCTGTAAAAGAAGGAATCTGGAATTGATCGTTTTAACTCGGTAGCCATTTTGTCGCTGGCGGTTCTAGCGTTAAGATCAGCATCGAGAGGGTCCGCTGGAAGGTTAATAATGATTCGTTATAATGAATTGCACAGAATCATAGCTCAAGATCCAGAGAAGCTGCAGTTCGTCGCCGAAATTCGACTGGCCGAACGAGACAACGGCACGTTCTGGGCGATGTCGACGAGATTCCAGAATTTCTTCAGGCGAGAGGTCAGCGCTCAAACGATCAACATCCGGATCATGAGGCTGATACCCGACCAGTTCATCCCGAACACCAACACCTTACTGTACGGGAAATAGATCGGAAACTTCCGTTGTCCCGAGGAAGTTTCCTGGCTCGATATTTCCTTGCCAAGATATAGCAATTCACATCATCGCGTAACCAAGAGAATCGATTACAGCGGCGGGAGGGGACCAGACGGAAGCTTCAAAATACGATTTTCCTTTTAAGTAGCACGAATTTCTAGAGGAAACACTGGACACGGGATCCCCGTAGTGTTCATTGTTAAGCGACTTTGAAAACGGCAGCAATTTCGAGGGCGTTGCTCATACATTCACGTCGGCCAACTCGAATGATGGATGCACCGCGTGGTCGTTCGCGGGAAAATGAATAATGATGTTAGCGTTTGGTTAGCGCAGTTATTGTTTTCGCCGATGTCCGAGTGAAAAGCGTGTAATACGTCGTTTGATTAATGCTCGATTACGTCTTGGAATCGTTCGTAGAGGGGATAGGTTACTTCGAGGATAGAAGAATACGTTTTCGTTCGAGTAGCTCTCTATCGAGAGACATAGAAGCAAAAGTTAAATCAAGAGTATTTGTATTTTTCTATTTATTACACATGTACGTTGGAAACTACGTTCTTAGTTCTTTCAGGAGAAACCTCTCAAGGGAAGTTATATTTTTCTTCGAATGTATATGAATAAAATAGTTCGTAGTCATTGGAAATGCGTTCGAGAACTTTCATTCACCTGTCATTCTGCACGGTCTACTGTATTTTCATTCGAGCGAGCCTGCGGATCGAATCTGCATAAATTAGAATTAGGCGCACTTCGCGAAGTTTCAAATGAATCGTGTGCGGCGGCGCGATTGCGTAATTACGTCGGAGTATTTACGCAATCGCGTAAACCACTCGGTAGCGTTTTACGTTTATAGTCGCATAAAACGAGTCTACGACCGCCTATTCCTCCGGAGCTTCGAACATTAGTATTAAATGAAATTATCACTCGTAAAACCGCCGGTAAAAAGCCGAAACCAAGGGAATTTAACACTTTCACCGTCGAGTGCAGCGCCGTTTCCGGTTTCCAATGAAATCCATAATCCCCATCGATATTTTAATATCTTAATCCTTCGTCCTGCGATTCGTTTCCTCGATTACCTACCATGCTACTTTGTCGTCAACGATTCCCTAGGAAGAGAGCAAAATCCGAGACGTGTTTACACAACTCCGAACATCGTAAACGAAGTCATTAACACGATCGACGAATAAACTCGATCGCTTCGTCCCACATTCCCATGAAACAAAATTACCCTGTCCCGAGCCATAATCTCCGCCATGCGACAAACGCTTCCGAGTGCCGATCGTCTGAAGGAATCGGCGAGATTTGCATAAAACCAAGGGAAACGTACGGAGTCGGCGTTGCGCAATGGCTAATCCGTTCTTCGCGGCGGGTTTACGACTGCAGTTTCAGTGTTCCAGTTGCCCGTTTACGCGATTGTCTTTTCCCCGGTCGATTTTCAGGGAGCAGTATCCTCGAGAAAGGAACCACGATAGATCCCGCGACGAGAAGAACAACGGCGGAGGCCGTAAATCCGTTGATCGTCGGAATTCCCAAAGAAGTTTCGTGAACTGGGAAACAGGTTCGGCGGCCGTGACCAGAAACCACGACATTCAACGGGATTGGTTTAAACGGCAGTACACGATCACGGCGAAGAGGAGATGCCTAGTTGACGACCGGGATCGTTACTCCGTTGGCAACGCGTCTCTTCAGTCGGTCCTCGAACGCGACGGGGCGCGCAGCGATCTGATGGGATCGTCGGTTCGTTGACGATCGCCTTGTGATGAGGCCAGTGATACCATTGAATTTATATGGAATTTATTCGTGCTATTCGTTGCTTCTTGGATATTTCGTGGACACTGGTTTTGCTTCTGTGGGGGTTGAGAGATCTCTGTTAACGTTGATTAACGAGTAAGGATTCTCTGTATTGTTGTCTTTCATTGACGATCGCGTAATGGGATTAGTGATATTGTTGAATTTATATGGAATTTATTCGTGATTCGTTGTTTCTTGGATATTTCGTGGACACTGGTTTTGCTTCTGTGGGGGTTGACAGGAGATCTTGGTTAACGTTGATTAACGAGTAAGGATTCTCTGTATTGTTGTCTTTCATTAACGATCGCGTAATGGGATTAGTGATACTGTAATCACGAGTAAATTCCATATAAATTCGATTCGTTGTTTCTTAGATATTTCGTGAACACTGGTTCTGCTTCTATGGGGGTTGAAAAGAGATCTTTCTTAATGTTGATTGACGAGTAAGAATTCCTTTATTTTTATTATCTTTCGTTGACGATTGCCTTGCGACGAGACTAGTGACATCATTGAATATATTTGAAGTTTATTCTTGTTATTTAATATTTACCAGATGCTTGGTAATACGTTTTGATCCTGTGAGGGTTGAACGATGATCCTTAACATTCGCCTGAACTGTGAAGTTTCCGTTAGCTGATCAACGTTCAATCGAATATCAGAAAGAAAACAGTTTAACATTCGAGAATGACTAAAGACTGAGATCTCAATGCAACTCTGTCAAGTGTGATTCAATATTAAGATAAGGTCTCTAAAAAACCCATTAGTTTGATTGCTATGGCACAATAAATTATTGGAAACGAGTATACGTCGTCGACCAGTTTCTTATCAGTTAAAGGTTATCTCCGTGTATATTCCTCGGTACCTCTTTCTCTCGTACACACGCACATCTCTGTTTACATTTTTGTCAGAAAAACAACAGTAATAACAGCGATATCCTGTGATCGGGAAAGAACGATGATCTAGTTATTGGTAACACTTTCATAGTAAGAGCTGACCCAGAAGATCTATGCACGTACCATCAGCACATATAACGAACTCAAACGAATTCGTCGACACTTTTCATTTCCCTCTGCTTCTGACAGACTTTCTGGGTCACCTGTTACTTAAAGAGTCCACCAAAAACTGGATCATTGTTCTTTGCCGATCGCAGGAGCATTTGTTCCGTTCTCGCCGTGACATCCGTGACGGTGAAAGTTACGCCCGAAAGAAAGAGCCGGCGACACCGAAAAGATCTCGACTGAGCGGAACCCGTTAGATATCCAACGGTCTCGATTATCGCAATTACCTCGAGTTTTCGTCAAAGAAACCGGTGTCATCGAAACCGTGGAATTTCCAGCACGTCAGGTGAGTCACTGCAACGTTTGGGCGACTTGCGTTGAAATTTCAAATGATGCTTCGCTACGATCGAGTCAACGGTTGCAATTGAACTGCCTCCTCCGTGTTCACGGGAAACTCGAAAGTGCAAGCGACAAAATTTCGAAGTCATTCGCATAATTCAAACCGCAGGGTCTTCATAAAAACTTGAGCCAACGTCGAGTTCGCCGGTTGCACTTTAAACTAATCTATGCAGCGTGCACAGTATTTTCAGATAACGATTCGACATGCGCCGCGAACATTACGAAATTCCCGACACACGTAACAGGGATTACTCGAAAAGTTTACACGACTATTGTTTATCGTGTGTAGTTGTTTATCGCGTGGTAATCATTTGCAATTTTCATTCACGGTATCTGCTATTCAAATGAAAACATTGATTGGAACGGCGAATCGTGCGCGAATTTCGTTCGTTTTCTAAGTTTTCGAATTGACAGCTGTGAAATTTTTCATTGAAATTCGATAATGTCGTTCGACAGCCTCGTTGCATCGTGGAATTCGAAAACAACCGTTGGTCGAAGCGTTCCGCGCAAAACGTCTAACGCTTCTTCAGTTAGACAAAAGCTGTCGCAGCTGCTGGCTGCAGCGATAACGTCATTCGGCGATCGACAGCTTCAGGAACTAATTATTAATCATACGCGGACGTGTGTTCCTAGCGCGATAACTACTTTATTTGCGCCGGCAGAGATGAGGTGCCTTTGGTGGACGGTTCTGATGGTCGCAGCCGCTTCCGGTTTCCCCTCGCCGGCGTACAACAAGCTGAGAGGCATCTACTCGTGGAAAGCGCTGGAATTTGATTTCCCCAGCGAATCCGCGAAACTGGCGGCTATCGAGAGCGGCGATTACATACCTGGCGCGTCTCTTCCCATCGACGTCGACGTGTACAGCGAAGGTAAACTAAGAAAAGCTGGATAGGATCGATCTAAACGAGCAGAGTTCGTCGATGCGATGAATCCGAAATTCCCCGATAAACCGTTAAGACTCTGTTACAATCGAGAAAAACATTTGTTCGAGTTGTCGAACGCGGTGGCAGCTTCCCGAAGAAGCAAGTTAATCATTGGCATCGTTAAAAATTTGCCACGGTATTGTAACATTGCAGCATTCACGATTTCTGCGACGAAATTACCGCGTATTTTCTGACGACAATCAACGGCTTATTATGACATTAGTATATTCCCATCAATTTTCCTTGTTATATTTATTCATCGAATCCCTCGTGTAATTATTCTCCGTCATTTTTACGCACTGTCTTGACGTTGTGCGAATGTGTAACCCAATTTGAGGATTCGCTGACTTATATGCAAGTTCTCCTCGTTCGGGGAGCCGAATTAACGTATTGCGATCCGGTTCCTTTTTCAAGCTGAAGCGTCGAAGGTCTTCGTCACCATACCGAGGTTTCAGAACGGAGTGCCCGTGACCTTGGGTTACGTGGTTGACCGGGCGTCAACGAACCCGAATCCGCTGATCTCGGCCTATCCGAACTGGGAGTACAACAGCGGGACCAGCTGCGACTCTATCATCAGCGTCTACAGGGTGCAGGTGATGTTTCGTTCCTTTTCCTAAGCTTGACGATCTTTGGAAAACTTGTGGTCGCCTCGAGACATTTTTAGAAATTCCCTGAAGTTTCTGGGAACTTGAGGGAATCCCTGGATGTACGGTAGATCTTACTTAACTTCAGCTAACTCTACTCTCTGGAAAGTACCAGCGATCTCTGGATGCTTCTACACATTCTAACGCGTTCCTAGCAACTCTTAGAAATTCCCTGAAGTCTCTGGGAGCTTGAGGGAATCCCTAGATGTACGGTAGATCTTATTCAACATCAGCTAACTTTATTTTCTGGAAATTACCAGCGATCTCTGGATGCTTTTAAACATTCTAACGCGTTCCTGGCATCTCTTAGAAATTCCTCGAAATTCTGAGAAACTTCCGCGAGTCCTCGCTAATGTGTGAAAATCCTTAAAACGCCGAGCCAACATCGAAACTAGTTAAATCTCCATTAACCGTTGAATTGTTCAAATGTTCCTCTTTGCGAAACTTATTAGCCTCGCTTGTAAATCACTCGGCACGTCTTTGACGCGTTGGACTTCGAATTTTCGCGTTTCAAGTTGCATCCGGTATTCCTTTCTGTCGAGTGCGTTCGTTTCTTGGGAAAACAACTCGCTGATAGAATGCCTTTTCCGAACGATGATTAATACAAGAGGAAGCAACGAGTAACGTTCGAACAATACCAAAGACAGAAGTAATTCCTGTGCACTGTCCTCGTGCGCGTCGAGGCAGACGCGAGCGTTGCAGCGTTGGAAATTGTCGGTGGTCTGACACTGGGAAACCCCAGCGAAAGCGGGAGAAATGATAAGTTATCGACGCGACCGTTGAGTCACGGTCAACTTACATCCTTAACACTAGGTTTACGGAACGCGTCAATTTGACGCAGATTGAATTTGATGAAACTTATTCGTATTATTCGATATTAGACAGAAAGCACGTTACCGATACGAGGGAATAATAACACATGTTTCAACTGGTCTGTCCAGATGATCGAGTCGCGACGAGGAAAAACGAATTATGTAATCGATACACATAACAATTACATTTTTTCTGCTCAACTAAACTAAACTGCAAGTCTTCGTTACGTGAAGCGAAGCTTCTTCTAATACTCAGTCGTCCGGTTTAAAGTCCCTAAAGAAATAGCAATTCCGTATTTATTCGTCTGCGAGTGAAAAGTAGATCACCGTAGGATGTGGAAATGTATGCGAAATAAGGATTAGTAGTTTACCCGTGAAGACAATCGTTCGCGAAACAACGAAGTTTGCTAACGAAGACGCCGAAGAAAGGAGAAGAAAGAAATTTTCCGCACGTGTAACGATGCTTGAGTAAAACACACAACAAACATTTCCCAATTGTCTCAGCGGCGTGACGACACGCTGAATGTTTTGTCGTTGGTGAATGGGTGCTGTGACGGAACGACTCTAACCGGGAAATTTACAAATCGGAAAGGAAAGCACGCGACAAAAAGGGTGCGTTCCGTTTAGAAAGTGAGGCCGACCTTCGTGATTTCTGTGCGCCTCCATTTGCGAGAAGTCGTTAACCCTTAGCACTCCAGATGGTTTTCTAATCTATCAGAAACTGCAACTAATTATGATATCCCCAGCGAAAATGAAAAATGCTATAACATTTCTCAGATCTTTTATTTTCTTAGTGCAAGATTTGGATGTGTGAAAAATCTAATAATTGTAGGGTAGTTTCTTTAACCCTTTGCACTCCGGAGGTGACTCTCAGTCACCACTTGATTCCTACAGTGAAGCTATAAAATTTGATATTTAATATTACACTTCATATAATGCATCAATCTGAGAAATATTGACGTAAAATATCTTTGTCTTCGTCTGATCAGAAAATGTTGAAATATTTCCAGCGAAAAACTTCGGAGTGCAAAGGGTGAAGATTCATTGAGATATCTAACATTATTCCTGGTGCAATATTGCAGCCTACAGAGTTCAAAGGGTTAAAATCAATTGCCTAAACATCTTTCAACATCTTTCCCTTCAGGTGGACGAGTGCGGTCGGTTATGGGTGCTCGACACCGGAAAGCGAGGCGACAGGTGGATCTGTCAGCCGCAGTTGCACGTGTTCGATCTTCGCACGAACGAACTGATCACCAGGTATAAATTCCCGAGGGATCAGTACAAGGAGGATTCACTCTTCGTGACGGTGGTCGTCGACATTCGGGACGCCGGGGAGAATTGCAAGGATACTTTCGCTTACATCGCCGACGTGACAGGCTTCGCGTTGATCGTCTACGACTACGTCAACGACAGATCCTGGAGAATCGTCAATAATTTGTTTTACCCGTATCCGCCGTACGGCACGTTCCACATCAAGGGTGACACGTTCGATCTGATGGATGGAATTATAGCACTTGCCTTGGGCGGCGTTCACAATGGAGACAGGATCCTCTATTTCCATTCGTTGGCCAGTAGAGTCGAAAGTTTCGTTCCCACTTCTGTGATCAGGTAGGATATTCTAGGAGACAGAGAATTTTACTTGAAACAATATCATTGTTTCATGACTCGAGATAAAACAATCCACGAATCAAACGACCACTTTCTAGAACATTCTTTCATTACCATGCATTAGCACCTTGGTATTAAAACGTTTACATTGTATGTTACCTGCTTTGGTTAAGACATTTGAGAATATTTACTTGTTTTCTATATATTCGAGATCGGTATTGAAGACTTCTATCGCCTGAACTTAGTTCAATGGAATTATTATTCAAGAATTCTAGATGAAACGAATGGTTGCTCGAGTAGGTTGCTTAGCTTGGAATGTTAGTTATTCTAGAAATCATTTGTTATCGCATTATATTATGGCCCGTTTAATGAAGTGTTTGGTAATGTTTAGGAATTACACTCTATTCCGAGATAACGCCGAAGCCGCGGGTAGGACGTTTGTTCCATTCGCAACGGAGAGGACCTCGCAGTCTGCGGCGCAGGCTATGGACCGCAACGGAGTCCTCTTTTTCGGGCTGCTGTCTGATCTGGCGATCGGATGCTGGAACAGCAAGAAATACTCCGATTACGGTGGCACTAACAACGATGTTCTTATCATCAATCCTGACACGTTGCAATTCCCTTCTGGCTTAAAGGTTGGTGCAACTTTTGCTCCTGCAGATTTCAATTTTCAGTTTCCATCGAACAGTAATCGACAGAACATTGTTTCACTTTGTTATTTTAACACTGGAACTACCATATCAGTTAACGTGGCCGGTTTCGATGTGTCTATTTCGCAACTATAGATACCTTAAAGGCATCGAACATTCGAAATGATCCTGAAAATAAAGTTCCACTTGAATACTACAACGAGTGTCCGAAGAAACTGGGAAAAATCTATCGTTACAATTTTTATAGAGATTACACGTTAATCGTATAAAATGCTCGGTATTCTAGCGTTAAAGTAGGACAATTCAGAAAATTCGAATTTCACTCAGCGTAAAATGAATTCCAATTGCAGATCGTCACTTCGAGTAAAGGCAGGCAGGAACTATGGGTGATGACAGTGTCCTTTCAGAAGTACATGACTGGCTCACTGAACAGCAATGAGACGAACTTCCGGATACAAGCTGGCTTCGTGAACGACCTCGTTCGAGGCTCAAAATGCGAACCCGTGAATGGCGGGACTGTGAGATTCCCGAGTTCGAAATGAAAATCGTGGCACCGCGAGCAGTATTCTAGCTATCACCGAGAGCGCTCGACGCCATCTTGGCGGTACTCCATCATTGCGAGCAAACCGTTCGTCGCGAGCGATTACTACACATTGTTTCATTCTCAAAATTACTTCTACGATCACCGTTTTCATTACAGTGATTATTGACGATAGGATAATCGAAGACGAGCTGCAAATACTTGCCTTAATTCGATCGAAACATTAATGATCCTAGAATTTTTAACGAAACAGACGGGATTTATGGGTGCTTTGAACCATTGCTCACGATTCCTTTCTGAAATGTATATTTTTCTATATCGATTTCGAACGTTAAAGTAGGAGCAACGATTCGAAGCAGTAAAATAACAATTGCAAGATGAACTGCGGCACTGTGATTAAATAGGATATCAATATCAATGAACAGAATGTCAATGTGTACTTAAAGAGTGTTCGTATCTTCGCTCGCGGTGCTATGAGGAATTTAGGCAGTCCAAAATGGCGTTGTAGGTTATCAATTTATAGGGTTATTGATATTTATTGTTGCACGTGTAACTTGCACTCTATTTTTATTGAATTTTACGAATGCGAGGTTTGCATGATTGATTAGCTATTCTGCGTGTCGTTTATCGAACGAAGCGTGCTTGTGTATGTATCTCACGGACAATTAATGAATAATGTATGAATAAGGAAAACGTAAGGAACCAACTGTTCCAATAAAAAAAACACGCACGTTACATGCGCCGTTTAACAAAGGTCGTTACAGTTCACGAGATTCCGCGGAGGCGATAAATTCCAAACTGATGTTCAACATCCTTTTGGAACCGCTCGATGGACTTTTACGATCACAGGTGAATAGAAACAAATTGCTGTTAAACGAAAGTAACGAGATAACGGAAAACGAATTCGGAAATTATCGGGAACAGGAAAGTTTGACTTGAATTTATTCATCGCGCTTACTGTTTAAGATGTGCATACGAGCCGAGTAATAAGTGAAACGAAATAGGTGAAACGTATGTACATAAATTCCAAATAATAGACGAATTGTTATCGCCCGCGATGGCATGTCACCTACTATCTGTATTCAATAAATTTTTCTCGACGTTTCACTCACTTGAAAATACTTTTTACTCCCTGTATGTTCCAAGGAATATTTCCAATTTTATTCCACTTCTTTTGTACACCTCCAACAATGGGTCTCGTCTTATAATCTTGAATCTGCAATGCAGATTTCATATTCCATTGTTTCAGTTGCAGATAACCGAGTCGAATAATTTCTTGGAAAATAAACGCACTTTTAAAACACACGAATTTCCACACTGTCACATTTGTGGTGAGACTGTCGAACTCTGTACTGATCGCATCTTAGAAAATTATAGTTGTTATACCGCGAGGAATAATGTTTTCCGCTTTCCTCGAAGAACACCACCGCCAATTAATACTATCTCCAATAATTTGGCACACGCGGAAGCGACTGAGTACTCGGAAACGTTGTTCACCGAAAGCGGAAAATAAATATTAAAAATGCAAAGCATGCCTGCCCGGTTTTTTTCCTTAGAGAATCAACAGCGTTATCGTTCCGCGTTATCAGCCTTCGAGACAGAAGTTCAGCAATTTGTACGGGGATATTTAACCATCCACCCGCTCTTATTCCCTTGCTTCGCTGCGCGCTGCTTGAGTAGATTCAACATTACCGAGCATTATTTTCCTTGACACCTGAAAAACGATTGGCAACGTGAGTATATTCGTTAAACGATAGTGCGTTTATTTAACCGTTTCCGAATCTATTTAAAAAATGACTGTTCGTCACTTCAGTGACACTGCGTTTCAATTTTTTCAACAAATTTCCTTCGTGCCATTGTCGCAACAGCATAACTTACTTAAGGAAATATTTTCAAAAGAATGAAACAATCAGTAACAAATAAGGGATCGACAGAATTTATTTAATTTAAAGGAGAAAAGCCAAACTCAGTGTTTCTTCTTTTTTGAAAATAAAATGACACGCACGTTTAAAGATAATGGCGAAACACATGCAACTTTTAACCCTACGTCGAGACATTTTCGTCCCAAAATTGCCATTGACATTTTCTACACGCCCACAGTCCGATTGCAATACGTATAAATTGTTTCGAAGTGTACCATTCTATACAAAATGATTATATAAACAAAGTCAGTCTAGATAATCGCGTAAATTAGGTGAAAACAGAGTTCTTCTCTACGCTTTGCCAAAACTCTAAATTAATTTCTTGCGCAAGTGGTTAATCCAGGTGAAGATAAATGTGCCTCACCGTTTGACATTTATTAGCTTCCACAAGGATTAACTATGTTACTGGTCCGTCGCCTAATCCGTGAAAGCAATGACTCGGTTATCGCGTCTCTTATGACTGTCATATAACGCGGTCTCAAATATCGCGGAAGGTACCTTCCGCGAGGCTACGAAACCATGAGAGTCCACCGTGCCTTTTCAGGGAAATGTTCGCATCGTGGTTGCTGGCGTTCTGCTTCGGCGCGATCTCCTTGGAGAATCGGATGCAAGTTACATCCCTGGAGCTGCGGAACCACACTCTAAGTGAGGTCCTACAGTGGAAGTATCTGGATTTTTACTACAAAAGTGAGGAACACCGCAACACGCTCCTCCAAAACGGCGGTTACATCCCGAAGAACAATATCCCCATCGATATCGACGTGGCGCCCGATGGTAATAATTAGCAGTGATAACCGGTACTCGATATTTCCGGGTGATAAGTATTAAACAAAGTGAAATTACATTGAAGAAAGAAAGTGAAAATTGCACCGTGTTGCTTCGGGAACGTAGAATAGATAACGTGAAAGAAGATATATAATTATGTAAATTTAACAATGAACTGACATAGTAGTTATAGATTCCGATAGATATAGAAGTCGCGTTGTACATTGCTTCGAGTGGAATCTCTTCCGAACAGTTCATTCGCCGCTTAAGAGACAGCTAATATTTTTTGTGTCCTCGTGGACAACTCATTTATCATTCTGAGCAATAAAAATCATTTGGTTCAAGGCAGAAGATTTGTGACGGTGATAAGAGATAAAGGTGTGCCCTCTTCTTTGAACGTCGTGTCCTCGACAACTGGCGAGGGCGGTCCGCTTCTGATACCTTACCCCGATTGGTCGTGGACCAAAACGGATTGCTCCGGTATCATCAGTGTCTACAGAATCGAAGTAACGAACATTTCAAGAATTAAATTAGATATTTCTGGGAACGCTACAAAGTTCGTTTGAAATTCGATGAAGTAATTTAATATCCGCGTGTCTTCTTTCAAACAGATTTGCGAGAACACGCTGTATGTTCTGGACAACGGGCAAATCGGCTCCGACACGGTCTGTCCCCCCAAGCTTCTCGCTTTTGATTTGGCAACTGATAAGTTAATACAAAGCCTGACGGTCCCAAAGGAAGTGGCGACAAACTCTACGACGGGACAAGGCTTGCTGATCACGCCGATCGTCAAACCGTATGGTCATCCAGTGCCTTTCGATGTAAGCGATGCTCTCCCGAGTATGAACATTTCATCTCTAAATATATTTTCAATTGTAACCGACATATTTCGAGAAATATATTTTTCAGAAACTCTATAAAGACTGTTGGATGTTCCGTTGCAGGCCATTTTAGCGGACGTGTCGGGTTACGCGTTGGTGACCTACGGACCTCAGTATGGCTGGAATCGAGTAATATCGAGGGCTCTCAATTACGATCCATCTATGGTCAATTATACGATCAATGGACAAACTTTCCAGCTGGAGGATGGTCCTCTAGGACTGGCTTTATCCCACAGAACCGGGATACTTTATTTGAGCCCTATGTCGTCTCGCAATATGGTCTCTGTCAACAGTTATCAGCTCGTCCATGCGCCAAACGCAATACAGTTCCAAGTGTAATTATAACATTAATTATTCTATCGATGAATTCTGTCGAATCTGTTTTTATTCGTTTAACGACTGAATTTTACTGCTTCAGGTACAAAGACATTCTGCCTACGCAGTCGAGTGCTAAAGCAATGTCACTGTCGCAGATTCTCTTCTTCGGGCTCACGAATAACCAGATTGCATGCTGGAACGAAAATCGACCGATGACTAAAGAAAATATGGTTAGTATTTACTTGTTACTTCTAATTTTATACCGCTGTAAAATTGTTGCTCAATGCGTTGGCTCGAATCTCGCATGTGTTTCGACGATGATCTTCCAATTGCAGATTGTGATTGCCGAGTCGCCCGAGGTTCTTCAGTTCAGCAGCGGAATGAAAGTTAAGAACAGGAGAAGGTCTTGGTTTTATTACGAAGAGGAGTTGTGGGTGATGACGAACAGATACCAAAAAGCAGCGACCAATACTTTAGACACGAGCGAAGTTAATTTCCGAGTTTTGAAAGGGAGCGTGAGAGAATTGACGGTGGGCACTGCTTGCGAAGCGTACGAATATTAATCACTTTCATGCTATTACATGTGAACACTTTAATCTGTAATAGTTGTTTAGAGATTGGAAATAAATACTGTAGCAAATTATGCAGTAATATACCTTCCCTTACAATTTTACCGTTTCAGAGTTTTCTATTTTGACATCGACTTCTATAAACCCTTTCAAAATTAATATATGTTGCGGTGTAGAATTTTTTTACAGTTACGGAGACGTTCGGGGAAATTATACTCAAAATTAGAAATCGATTTTACCGACGGAGAGCTCTAACGCCTCCATTTTGCGCAGCGTCTCAATGGAGATAGAGTCACGACTGATTATAGGATAATTTAAGACGCGTTGCAAAGAATGTTTCCTTAATTCAATCAAAACATTAACGATTATACACTTTTTAACGAAATAGGCGAACATTGTAGATGCTTTGAACGATTGTCCATGATTCTTTCTAGAAATTTGTATTTTTGTATATCAATGTCGAACTTTGAAGTAGGAGGAAACATTGTGAAGTAGTCAATTAGTAATTGCAAGGTGAATTGCAGCATTGCCTTTCCATAGATTATCGATGTGTACTTAGAGATTGTTACACCTCTGCTTGCACTATGATAACAAACGTTGGTTATCTAGCAAGGTTATACACCATGCGTAACTTGCACTATTTGTATTAATTCTTGAGAACTTTGTACGACTGATAAATTACTCTGCGTGTCATTTATCGAACAAACATGTCGAAGCCCGCATATATATATATATATATATTTCATAGACAATTAACGAATAATGTTTGAATAAGGAAAACGTACCGAATCAATTGTTAAAATAAAAAAAAATACGCTCGTTACATGTCCTGTTTAACAAGGTCGGTTGTATTTCATGAAATTCTCTGAAGGCAATCAATTTTAACTTTCCTATTATACAAAAGTAACGCGATGACAGTTTAAAAATGAATTCTGGAATTACCGTGAACAGGAAGGTTCAACTTCAACTTAGTCACCATTTCTATTGTTTAAGGTGTAAATAATATACGGTCCAAGAAATAAGTGAAACATATTTCCATAAAGTACAAAGTATGAAAGAATCGTTATCGCCCAATAAATTTTCCCCGACGTTCAACTGACTTGAATGATGATTTACTCATCCTGTACATTCTAAGCAATGTTTCTATTTTATTCAATTCTTCTCGTCGTCATTTTAATAGCCTCCGTAATAGATATTGACCTACGGTCTTGCATCTGCGATGAAGATTTCATACTCCACTGCTTTAGTTACAGATAACCAAGTTTAAGTTTACTTAGAAATAAGTCGAATAAATTCTTGGGAAATACACACATTTTTTAAACGCATAAATTTCTACACTGTTGCATTCGTTCCGAGACAATCGAAGTCTGTACCGATCGCATTTGAAAAAACTACTCTGTCTCTGTTAAGCTGCGAAGAGTAACAAATATAGATACCTCGTTTTTTACCGAAGGAAATCCACCGTCTTATCGTTCCGCCTTATCAGCCTTCAACACGGAAGTACAGTAATTTCTACGGGGATATTTAATCATCCACCTGTTCTTATTCCTTCTCTTCGCTGCACGCTGCTTGCCTAGATTCATTATCGAGCGTCATTTTCTTTGACACCTGAAAAACGATTGGCAACGTGAGTATATTCGTTAAACGATAGTGCGTTTATTTAACCATTCCCGGGTCTATTTAAAAAATGACTGTTCGTCACTTCAGTGACACTGCGTTTCAATTTTTTCAACAAATTTTCATCGTGCCATTATTACAACAGCTCAACTTATTTAAGGAAATATTTTCAAAAGAATGAAACTATCAGTAACAAATAAGGGATCGACAAAATCTATTCAATTTAAAGGAGAAAAGTTAAACTCAATGTTTCTTCTTTTTTGAAAATAAAATGACACGCACGTTTAAAGATAATGGCGAAACACATGCAACTTTTAACCCTACGTCGAGACATTTTCGTCCCAAAATTGCCATTGACATTTTCTACACGCCCACAGTCCGATTGCAATACGTATAAATTGTTTCGAAGTGTACCATTCTATACAAAATGATTATATAAACAAAGTCAGTCTAGATAATCGCGTAAAATAGGTAAAAACAGAATTCTTCGCGCAGCACTTAGCAAAACCTCTAAATTAATTTCCAGCGCATGCGGTTAATGGAAGTGAACATAAAAGTGTAGGCGCAACTATATTACCGGTCGATCGTCTAATCCGTGAAAGCAATGACTCGGTTATCGCGTCTCTTATGACTGTCATATAACGCGGTCTCAAATATCGCGGAAGGTACCGTCCGCGAGGCTACGAAACCATGAGAGTCCACCGTGCCTTTTCAGGGGAATGTTCGCATCGTGGTTGCTGGCGTTCTGCTTCGGCGCGATCTCCTTGAAGAATCGGATGCAAGTTACATCCCTGGAGCTGCGGAACCACGCTTTGAGTGTGGTCCTACAGTGGAAGTATCTGGATTATGCCTACGAAAGTGAGGAACAACGCGACACGCTCCTCCGAAACGGCGGTTACATCGCGAAGAACAATATCCCCATCGATATCGACGTGGCGCCTGATGGTAATGATTAGCAGTGATAAAAGAACAAAGTGAAATTACATCGAAGTGAAAGAACGATGGTTAATACCGACGCGAAAGAAAGTGAAAATTGCACAACGTTACTTCAGGAACGTAGAATAGATACGAAAGAAGATATATAATTATGTAAATTTAACAATGAACTGACATAGTAGTTATAGATTCTGATAGATATAGAAGTCGCGTTGTACATTGCTTCGAGTGGAATCTCTTCTGAACTGTTCATTCGCCACTTAAGAGACAATATTTTTTTGTGTCCCTGTGAGCAATTCGCTTATCTTTCTGAGCAATAAAAATTTGTTTCAAGGTAGAAAATTTGTGACGGTGGTAAGAGCTAAAGGTGTGCCGTCTTCTTTGAACGTCGTGTCCTCGAAACATGGCGACGGCGGCCCGCTTCTGGCGCCTTACCCTGATTGGTCGTGGACCAAAACGGATTGCTCCGGTATCATCAGTGTCTTCAGAGTGCAAGTAATGAAAATTTCAAGAATTAAATTAGATATTTCTGGGAAAGCTACAAAGTTCGTTTGAAATTGAATGGAATAATTTAATATGTGCGTGTCGTCTTTCGAACAGATTATCGGAAACATCTTGTATGTCCTGGACAACGGGAAAATCGGCACCGACACCGTCTGTCCCCCCAAGCTTTTCATTTTCAACTTGGCAACTGACAGGTTAATGAAATGCATGACAATCCCAAAGGAACTGGCGACAAACAGCACGAGCGGACAAGGCTTATTGATCACGCCGATCATCAAGCCTCATGGTCATCCGCTATATTTCGATGTAAGTGAGGCTCTTCGAAATATGAACATTTCACCTCTTAATAGATTTGTCATTATAGCTGACATATTTCGAGAAATATATTTGTCAGAATATATACGTCATAAAGACTGTTGGACGTTCCGTTGCAGGCCATTTTAGCGGACGTGACGGGTTACGCGTTGGTGATCTACAGCCCACATACAGGTTGGAATCGAATGGTATCGAGCGCTCTCAATTACGATCCAAAGATGGTCGACTATACGATCAATGGAGAAACTTTCCAGCTCGAGGATGGTCCTCTAGGGCTGGCTTTATCCCACAAAACCGGGATGCTTTATTTGAGCCCTATGTCGTCTCGCAATATGGTCTCTGTCAACAGTCATCAGCTCGTCCATTCGCATCACACAGTACACTTTTACGAGTAATTATAATCTTAATTATTCTATCGTTGAATTCTTTCGAATCTGTTTTTATTCTTTTCACGAATTAATTTTACTAATTCAGGTACAAAGACATTCTGCCTACGCAGTCGAGTGCCAAAGCAATGTCACTGTCGCAGATTCTCTTCTTCGGGCTCACGAATAACCAGATTGCATGCTGGAACGAAAATCGACCGATGACTAAGGAAAATATGGTTAGTATTTACTTGTTACTTCTAATGTTATACCGCTGTAAAATTGTTGCTCAATGCGTTGGCTCGAATCTCGCATGTGTTTCGACGATGATCTTTCAATCGCAGCCAGTGATTGCTGAGTCCTCCGAGCTTCTTCAGTTCACCAGCGGAATGAAAGTAAAACGCAGACGAATTTCCTGGTCTTGTCACGAAGAGGAGTTGTGGATAATGACGAACAGATACCAAAAAGCAGCGCTTGATACTTTAGACACGAGCGAAGTTAACTTCCGAGTTTTGAAAGGGAGCGTGAGGGAATTGACGGCGGGTACTCGTTGCGATTCGTACCTGTCCTTGTCACCTTCGTGCTGTCATACGTGGGTACATTAATCTATAACAATTATTTAGAGATTGGAAACGAACACTGTAGCAAATTATGTATTACAATACCTTTTTTTACAATTTCATCGCACCAGAGTTTTCTATTTTCGCACTGACTCTTATTAACTCCCTCGAACTCAATGCATTTTACAGTTGTGAACAAATTCGAGAAGATGAAACTCAAAATTAGAATTCCATCTTACCGACGGAGGGCTCTAACGCCGCCATTTTGTGTTCCTCCTACATTCGAGTTTCAACCTTAAAGCGACTGAATATTTCTAGACGAAATAACATTCGAGTGTCAAAATGTTAGCCGAAATGGAGGTAAACCTAATAATTAGTCATTCGAATTTTTCGATGTTTCTATCAAGGTATTAGTGCTTGAGACGCGAATCGTGTCCATACTCGGCAATATCGGAACCATACAAAATGGCCGTCAAGTAGCGGGCCTAACTATGCCCAAATGGAAACGATCGCGACACTGATTTATAGCAGGATCGCTTGCGCAATCCTGTTTTCCTGGCAAAAACGCTTCCTCGGCCTGTTGACATTGCGCAATCGTTATCTCGTTGACCATAAGTACTCCCGGTGACCGAGAAATTGGATCACCTGTTTCGCAACCGGTATCGACGGCCCGATGGAGCACGATTTCATGCAAAGCGAGGACGTTATTCTTTATTAAGCACCCGAGGCACCAAAAAGTTTACATTGTCGGTCCACGATACTTCCCGTGGTACTCTCGAGGCTATATAAGGCGGAAACCTCGGCCAGCGTGTTGGTCAGTGATGCTTTATCTGTCCTCGTTGAACGTTCTCGTGAATCGACGTAGAAAAAACTACGGCAATTCGTTTCATTATGAGTTAGTAGTGGGCTAGTTTAATTCTAATGTAGCTAAAGAAATTAATCGGTGTTACAATGATTACAGAACGAAATATCGTCTCTCGAATGGCGGAGATCGTGTCCGTTCAATTTGGTTCGTGTAAAGTTTCCTGCGCAACAAACGAACAATTTTGTACCTAACTATTGTCCTCTTATCTAATCGGATGGTCCCGGCCGTTAATTATCATGGAAAATTACTGAAATTAGGTAATGTACAGTTATTGCGATAATATACAACGGTGCTCTTCCGTGACGCGCTTTCGATTGTTTACTTACGCAAAAAAGAATATGATCAAGCATTGAACCACTGTATTTATAATCTGACAATAGGAAGCGCGCTGAAAATTTCATCGTACATGTATTGGAACGTGTATACATTCTAGCAATTTGCGCACCTCGCTAAGTTGCAAATAGATAACGTTTCACAGTGCGGCGAACGCTGTTCGATCCTGTCAAGATAAAAATTTTAATTGATGCGCCGATGATGGAGGGAGCGGCGAGAGAGGAAGGGGATGGCGGGGCATTATAAAACAATCTGCGAATAGGAAACTAACCGCGAGTGCAAGAAAATCGCTCGTTTCTGCTTTCTCGGCTCGCGTCTGTCGGCCGAGCCGTCGAACAGTCCTCGGAGTGATCAGTCTGCGGGATCGGATAATCTCGGACGGTGGTGTTCGTCGTCGTCGGAAAGTGTTTTTCTCGGTGTTTTCATTATCCAATTGAACTTTTTACGATCGAGCAATCAGTGAGAAGAAACCCGTTCCGCGTGGAAATTTGTTCTGTAACATTGGAACGAGAAAGTTCCGCGAGAGCATATCGCTCGGACCGAACGTTTCGTCGCGAATGCCGAAGCTGCGACTGAAAATATCCGAATACTTCCGTTTGCCCTCCCCTGGTGACGTACGGTTGATTTTCAATGAATTTCACGATGCAAGAATTAAGTGATTTCGCAGGGCTGATTCCATAACTAGCGAAGGGAGCCTTCGACGAAGAGGACGAAGGAGGAAATGTTCGTTGGAACTCGTTCGTTTGAAGCCACGTTCTCCCACGGATGAAACGTACAGTGAAGATCACAGTTGAACTTGCGATAGATTACATTTATCCGCTTCGATTCTTTGAGTTTGTTTCATTTGAAACGTTCGTTTGAGTTTCCATCGGTAAACGAATAATTAACGCGTTGCATTGTATTCAAAAACGTTAGCTTTCGAAAGAAACACACGAGGAGTATAGCTACCTATGGTCGCTGCTGAATATTCATTAACACTTTCGAAGATAATGTATTCATAAGTTCAATGAATTCTTACGTGAACTACTTACAGCTCTAATAATTACTTTCTAACCCTTCACAATAGAAAAATGCAGGTTTCGAGAACCTTCGGGAGCAAAACGGCCCCCGAGGTTTATCGCGGTTCTTCCGGGAAGCGGGAGCGTGGCTTAAGGAACTAATAGTGGGCGTCGAGTGAATGAATTAACCGGCGTTATTACTTTCTTTATTTACAAGATCCCGCGGTCTCGAGGAGGAAGTCGTTCGCGAAACCGAAAGTGTTCCCGATCGCCGGTGGAAAGTAACGTTTATGTTAAACACGAGCGGTCTCGCGTCATTTGCGGGCCGAGCCATTGGAACCAGTCAGAGCCAATTCGAGGTAACGCAAATCATTCGATTCCCCGTCTCACGAACCAGTTCGATGGCCGTGAGCTTGAATTCTGCGACTGAAACGCACTCCCGAATATCTCGGCGTGTAATCGTCGATTAACTGGAACCGATCGTTCGTCATTCCTTAGAACTTCTTGCTCGGACACGGTGAAACGTGCCAGCTGTGCCATTTAAAAATGACGAACGATTAGTCGGTTACTTATCTAATTACCGAACCCAAGGGAAAAAGAACATTCTTGAACGAACACGTGCTGTGGTTGAAGGAAACGCAACATTCCACAAAAATTACGCGAAAATGTGGATCTAACGTTGGGTCGACTTTATCTGTGAGAAGTACCATTTTTATAGGCAACGCTTCGCGAGAGTGAGATAAATTTAAATTGAAATTTGAAATTTTGAAATTTATCTCAGTTTAAATTAATACATATATTTTAAATTTAAATTTAAATTGAGATAAAATTCGACGATGCGCCGCGTTCGATTGTATACTTCCATTAGCCGTTTATCGGAACAAATGCGAGCCGTTGTGTAATTCTTCCGCCAAGTGCATCGGCAATGAATGCAAGGTGGTAGCACAGTCTGAGAATCTCTTGTAATTATATAATACACCTATTAAACTATTATGAGCATATTTACGACTCGTAACCGAGTCACCGGCTCGCTTCCCGGCGACTTTTCCCAATTACAATTCGGTTCTGTCCGCGGTTACATCATCGCCTCGGGAAATTTCATCCCGAATCATTGTTTTTCCCTAATCGGGAGAATGATTCTACGCCGCCCTGGCGCGATCCGTTACGAAATTCCACCTTGAATGGCAGCGTAACGTAATAACGCAGTTACGTTCTGGCGTGCATTTTTCCACAGCACTTTCTCGATGATACGATTACGTCCCCGTGAACCAGTTAATTGGCGAGGGCGAGTTCGCTCGGTCACCAGGCCTTTCACAGATTTTTCAATTGGTTAGCCGCCTGATCAATAGTTAATCAGTGGAATCTAGACGTTTACGTGATTGCAAACATTTATGGGTACAAGATGTAAAAAGGAATGTAGGGACTTTAATTGAATCACGTATTTCATTCGAACATTCGCAGACTCGCAGATTGAAAAATTCGAAAATTTGAATCGTCAGTCCTAAAACATTTGAACATTTAAATTACGAACGAAATGCATAGTCTGCGATTGAACAATCTGTTAGGTCAATAGACGAATTTAATCACTATCCTCGCAGAGATGCCATGACGGGCAAAAAGAGAAGCTTGGAAACGGAAACCGGATCGTACGGCCGACAGAGGAATCAATGGTCGCCACTTAAGACACCTAAACCGTCGAACGGCTACGTCTACCACAGCCCGACTCACTCTTTCCTCTATAATTGGGACGAACCTAATACTCTGAGGTACAACCACGACTGTCTCCAAAGGAAATGGCTGAAGCACAAGCAGACATCCGGCACCGGTGAGTTCAAACCTCTCCATCCTTCTGCATCGTGAACATTCGAACATTAACACGTTTACTGCCACGAAAACCTTCAGAGTTTTATGTCTCTCGCTTATTCTTTTCTAGTAAAAATAAAGAGGAACAGTTACTTATTATTTGCTATCGGAATGCTTACGTGACACGATTATCTAGTAATTTACGCTGTGAAATATTTCCATTCGACATTAGTTACCCGACAAATTGTAATTGTCGAGTAATTTGGAAGCTCCGATCATCGGTGACCGACGTGGCAGTCGACGTGTTAACCGTTCGAGCCCCGAGCGGCGCAATGGCGCTTCTCTATCATCGTGCATCATCGTAGAATAAGATGAAGCTTGTTTATCTCTTCTCCTTCGAAATATTCATTCTCATTTTTCTTGTTACTCGCCTAAGACTGGAAAAATCTAACGATCGCGCTATTTAAAATTTGTTTCTGTAAACATAGAAAAGCGTCGTTCAGTTTCTAAATTCAAACGAAACTGTTTTTCGACCGGATTTTCACCAAAACCTCTGGGACTCGAACGGTTAATGACAATTCAACTCTTATAAATCTATTTCGAAACACAGAAGTAACGATCCCGTAGAGAAACACTTTCCTAAAACCGACCTGCACTTGGAACGCGTAAGTTGCCAAATACTTCTGCGTGGCGTTGCGCCGTAGCGAAATTAAAACGAGCCTCCCGATGCAAAAACAATGGCGGCGGTGCCGGTGTGTCCTCGTAAAAATGCGATCATTACTCGCCGGCGTTGTCGCGGAGCGAATTGCTTTCCGTAGAACAGTCCCTAAAGCACACGCGCGGCCATTGTTCCGAGCGTTTTCTTCGGTGTGCCAACAACCGCGCCGCCGATTTTACGTTGCGCAAACTGTAGCACAGTTTTCCCCGGCTTTCGTGGACCGACGCGAACCGCGCGATGAATATTACAAATATTACACATCATCGAACGGTTTATCGGCGATTGTCGGGCACACACGCGTAACGAACACACTTTCTAACCGGTGGCTAACATGCCGCGAAACATTAGCCAAATTCATACTTTCGAATATAGACGATCTAAGATCGATACGGGAACGTGTCTATATTCACGCGAACTAAATCGGCGAGTCAAAAGTCCGCACGAAAGTCTATCGGATTCCAATCATCGATACGTTGTTGGAAATCGCTGATTTGCCGCGGCCATCCGACAGCTGAAACTCGTCCAATCATTGGTTTCGACATGTATAGAAATTCTATAATTACCGCGATTCGCAATAGTGTCGTAACGGATACTACGCTCGAAGACTACGCAGGACGATTACAATGCAAGAAATCACTCGCGCTTTCGAGTGAGCAATCGTCAAGCGAGTGTGAAAAGAGAAATACCTTGAATTAGAGAACGTTTATCGCAACACTGTCGTAGCCTCGCGCGGAATGCAACGAGAAGGTGGAGAGAAACAGCTTTGATAAACAAGTATCTTATTTGTACGAGTGTTGTAATGTTATTTATATATTAATATCGAAATATTATCGTATAAACTGCAAATATATACAAATAATAGAGCTCCGACTTACGTGTAACACGATATTTCAATGTGATGGGTAGAAAAATGCATATTAGGCGTCCGAATAATTCGAATTACGGAGTTCCCGTGTTTCAAATTGCACAGGTTCTCAATTAGAGGAGATTCTATTGAAGTATCTTGTCAGAATCGTTTAGAAACTATTCACGAGCCGCAGAGGTCTTCGAGTTATCGAGGTTCGACCTAATTTCCACCTGAATTCCTCGGTCGATCTTCATCTTCTTGTTCCCCCGTTTCGCTCGTTCTTCTCCTCGTTTCGCCGGTTTCCTCGGCTCTATCTGCGCGCATCAAAGAAACCGAAGGGTTCTCACGGGATTAATGCTGGCGTAACGATGCTCTGATGCATTCGGCCGAACGGATTCCCCTGTTTCGCAACCGCGCGAACCGAACGGGCGAGAGAGCGATCGTCTGAAACCGCTCTAAATATCGCGGGGTGCACTGGAAATGCGTACTCCTTTGATTCATTCACTTCGGTAGATTCGAAATATCGTCTCGCAGGTAACGCCGTTTCCTCAATGTTAACGCATTGCGTGCCGACAACGAGAGATCCCGTTTTTACGTGAAGACACGCAACTTTGCTAATTACCGCATTAGAAGAGACATGAAATTTCATTCGATTATCGATTTAAAATGTAATGGCGATGCGATATTTGAGTCTTTCTGTATATAGTGATAGAAATTGACGTGTTAACGTTTGGTCTAAACAATTGACACGTTTCGTTTGAATCGTCGATGTCTCGACTGTCATTGTGTAATATTGACCTGTTTCTGGATGAATTTTTTAATATTGTATCAATACGTAATACTGATTTCGATATGTTAACGATGCTCGCGTTAAATGAATCCAGAATATTCGAAACGCGCGTGAAATTGATGCACGGTGACGAAAGTGTTCTAGAAAGTGTGCGAGTGAGGCGAATATATCCGAATGCATATAATGCGCGCACGATTTGATTTACATTCAATGTTTGATTGCAAGTTGTGTGGTAAAAATGCTGTTTACAGAATCAAATATTCTCCTCCTAGGATAATGTGAGAAACCGGAGCAGATTGTTGCGCCGGTAATTACACGGTTTCTTAATCGCCGCTTGTAAAGAAAATGATTTGCAACCGCGTTGTAACACCTATTATTTTCTTTCTTTAGCCTCTTAATTATTGCATTTATTCGGGTAGCGTGCGCGTTATGTTGATAGATCGGCTGCCGTTACGATCACCGTGGAAATCAAAGTAGCAGGTTGTTGATCCTTCTTGCTACTACCGGTTTCTTCTGTTTCATTTCTTCCTGAACCACTGTGTTTTTATTACAACCACGTTAGGCTTTATCTTGATCACGTAATAATGAAGTGTTTTACGGTAGAGTTTCTGTTCGCGATTGTGGATAAATTGCGATCGATATTAAGTGATTTTCTATGCCAGTTATTTCATCGTCTAGCCTGCGAAGAATCCTGTAAACTTCCTTCGACGAAATCGGAGATTCTTAAAATACACTGCTTGGTGACGCTATGTTGACAATGCGTTGTCATACCGAGAAAAACGAATGTCCCATAAACTGAGGATAATTAACTTGGGAACGTCTCGAAAATGTCATCCTCTCTGACGCGTAGCGAAAGTTGCTCATAGTAGATTGAAAATTCAAAGAAGTACAATGTTTCTCAAACGCCATTTACAAAAATTAACGTTTATCAAATTGACGACCTATATCGTTCACCTATAATCTCATTTTTATTTCGAAATTCTGTCAAATCATTTTCTTCAAATTCTTCAGAAAATTTTCTCCTACTTTATTCTCCATTTAAATGATTCGAGTAGCAGGGGACTCCCTTTTTTCACAATCACGAAACGAGCAAACCGCCAATGACCTATACAATTGACCTATAATCTAATTTTTACTTGGAAATCCTATCAAATCATTCTCTTCAGACTTTTCCGAACATTTCCTTCTACGTTGTTTTCCATTTGGATGATTCGAGTAGTAGGTGGCTCCCTTTTTCGCGATCTCGAAACGAGCTAACCGCCAATGACCTATACCGCAGCCTCGTAATACGAACGAGAGGGAAAATCTTCTCCGAGAGAAGGGATTCGCCATTCTCTCCTTTCGTAGTACACCTAGACACACTTATGACCCGGATAGTGAATATGGCAGTCGGGTAACATCCACGGTCTCATCCCGAGCGAACATCTCTATTTGACCGTCATCGCGTTCTCCTCGTGGCCTGAGCTCGCAAGTACCGCGAAGTTCGCTTTTACCTCAGCTCATCTTTTCTCCGTCGTTTCCATAGAAGAAGTTTCTCTCCGTTTTCTCGTTCTCTCCGCTTTTCTACCAATGTGAACAACCTATAACGCGAGTCAAGAGTCAGTGGGTCACCTTGAGGAACACTTTTACCCGCCTCCGGAATCCTCCAGGTAATCGAACGCGATTCAACGGGGATTTTGTGAGTTTCGTAATCATCCTTCGACTCGTAAGACTGATTATTCAGCTGTGCCATATACAGATAGAACCAATTGCTTTTTTTTCATTGACACGGAGATCTCAGTTAGCCGGAATGCGCAGCATTTGTTTTGTGTACAGTGTTCACGATGGTTAAACGAACTCGAGCAGAATAACTTGAACGATCGGCTTGCGACTGCTGAGAAATTCAACGTTTCACATTACAACCTAGCAGTGACTGTTTGGAACGTGACAGTTCGCACGACGAACGATTTCCGTGATCTAAATTGTTACTTATTTTTTCGCCTGCTTCTCGCTGATCCATCAATTATCCTAACGACTACTCGACAGACGGGTTTAGAAAGTTTTATTGACCTTTTCTAGCGACCGAATTGGGAAACTGTAATCGTTGATTCCGTTTCATGAGGTATCGGTAATTCATTAATCAAATATTAATGTTTTAATTACACGGTATCGTCAACGACATTTTCCGAATACCAAGATCGCTCTACCGCGCATCGAAATCTCTGAACTTCGTTGAACTTCGTTTAATAATATAGTTCAAAGTATTGATTAAATAACTAAAGACAGAAACGTCAATCCTTCATTTGCTTCAATGTACAAATTAGGAAAAACTCGGTATAAGTGTTTCCCTTCTAAATTTGCTTTCCTTAATGAGATAGGTTAGCTTTAATCGCGCGAAATTCAAGATACCTAGTCGTTAACTTTGATTTGAAACGGCTGATTGGATTTTTAATGATCACGATAGACGTGTATCAGCCCGTGTCAGCTTTTCTCGGACATCCTGGGCGAAAGTAATCACCGGTCATGTCACCTTGAAAGTCGTTACGCCGCAGCTTCATCTCGAGAGCCGCGCGGCGTGTTCGCTTTCCTTTCAAACTCGCTGTCCCCCGCGCGTTGCATCTTTCGCCCCTCGCACGCGTTAATTAGCCGTCATTACCGTTCCCGTGCAATTATGCAAGCCGCCCGTTTCACGGAGATTAACGTTTAATTGAACTTTCAACACGTCCAACTCGGTAGCAATTCACTTCGAAAAATGAACGAAACAATTCCGTCCGGTTAATCGACTTCCGCTTTTAAACGTGAACGCATAAACTCACACGGGCAGATCTGTGATTGTACGATTTGTAATTGTGGATTTATAATTTACGAGTTTTCACGTTTAATGGAGATAGTAATTTCGATTAGACACAGCCGTCGCTGTAATTATTTCGACGTCCGCGTCGTTTTTCCGCCTATTACTCAACGGAAGAATCTATATCGATTATAAATCACATTCCATCGAATTCTATTCCATTCGCTTTAACAATATCCTTATCGTAATACAAAAATATCGTAAATGTAGAAGCTAGCAGTGTAAAAGCTACAGCTTCCAAGATGGCGTAACAATGGCAGCTAACTCGTTCGAAGGAAACGTTCGATCAGGTTCCCCGACCTGAAGAGAGAACCGTTTGAACTGCTGTCTCGTGCGAGAAAGAGCACAGGCAAAAGTGCACCCATAGGAAAATCACGATAATTGTAGAATCGTGTCACGATATCGCCAGCCATGGTACACCATTCCGATCACGTGTCGCGCCCGCCATTCTCCCGCTACGGTGACTCTCACGGGCTCCGTCGCCTCGAAAATTTATTGCGAACCGACTCTTGGTAGCTGCAACTGGTCATGTATCAACTGATTTGTTAGATCAATACCTCCTTACATCTTCGGAACACACAAATATTCCGAAGTGTCTGCGTTAGGTTATGTTTAATACCACACGAATAAATTATTCTACTATTCAAAGACCTACTCGTTCCTTCGTTCTTTGTAGGTTAGAAAGCCTTTCTTCTACAGCTTCTGAGTATATTGTACAATCATTTCAGAAGCCATTACGAATAATCTCTCAATATTACCGTTCCGAAATCGATTGAAATCGCAAAGGAGACCGCGAGACAAAGGGTTCAATTCAAAGTTTCGCAATCCCATCGTCCTCCGCACGTTCCAAATCGCCCGAAGATATATCCCGGATCTTACTCGAACAAAAAACTGAATCAACAGTTTCACGGTCGCGTATGATCCAGGAGATCAAGAGATCGAGTCTGAAGGTAGTCTCGCCGCAGGGTGTTCGAGTATTATCCAATAGCCAGTGCCTGTTACACAACGATTATCAAATTCGCTGTCGCCCGGGGGTTGCAGAAGGGGATCGTTGCGTGGCGGTCGCTAAAATCAGGCCGTCACGTGAACTTCGTTGGGAAATCGGTCAACGAAGGCCGCCGATCGAAGCATTATCGCGTACGCATCGGAATCTCCTTTCTTTTCAGGTATGGCGAACGTGCTGCCGTGGCTGATGTCGATGTGCCTGCTCGGCGCGCAGGAGTTCGCCTCGCCGGCTGGAAGCCACGCGCTTTCACGCGATCTTGAAACGCCCGGCTCGAGGAGTGTGTCTCCGGGGTTCCGCTCGGTATGGATCGCTTTTCCCTTACGCAACCCGTAGATGAAGATCGGCTTCCTGTCGTAATAACCGCTGCCCGATAAAACCGGGAACGCGGTAACGCTTGTGCTCCAACGAACGCAACGCACGCGTAACGCGCGTTATTCCGGTCAATCGTTTTTTATGCATTCACCTTCGTGTCTCTGGTTCATCTTGGTTGAGGTAGCGATCGATAGCTAACCACTTTTGAATATTATCCTTTTGCAGAAATCGAGAGCGTTATAAAGCAGGTCCAATGCTTTGTAAAATCAAAAATTCTATCCCTCTCCTTTCTCTTTTGGCTTCAGTTATTCCATCCCAGCACCCAGGCTTCTTCGTTGGCTTAGCGATAACGCTTCTCGCTAAAAACTAAACTTCCCCTTAAACTAAGAATTACTAGAATAGCTTCGTAGCACTAACCGTTCGATTCATTAAGAAATATTTGAATTTGATTTCTAAATGGCCTGCAGTCCCTGAGGAACTACAAGACGCTGATCGCGACGCACGACGAGCTGCCAGGCCACATAAATTGCCCGGACCACGGGGACGTTGCCACGACCCTGGAGAGCTCGGTGGACAGGCAGCTACCCACAACCCCGGAGTACAGTAATTACTTGTACGGCTCGACGCCGCACTCGGGCGCTTACTTCTTTCCATCCTCGTTCGAGAGGAGCAGGGACCGCTCGAGGCCGATCGGGAGGAATCCGAGCGTACTGAAGACCGATCCTTACTCGGTGAATCAGCTCGATACGCACGTGTTCAATTATGACCCAGGTCGAGGCCACCTGGAAGACGATTATGTCGGCCCCGCCATGGAACTAGTAAGACGCGAACTTCCTGTAACAATCAGACCGCGAAGTTTCATACATTAATCGCGTGCAGAAATCGCTGGAGAGTTATAAATCTGTTTACCCGCGTGAACTTCCTCAATTACGTTTATGGTTTTCCAAAGAGCACTGCCTTTAATTGTCCGCCATCTTGAACTTGAAATGCCGAACTGGTAACCTGTTTTATCGACAGCTGGCATATGCAACTCCATTTTGTATTCTTTTTAGATGAATTTCAGCTTCGAACGCTGTACAAGGAGAATAACGAAGAAATCGTTTTATCTGAGATAATCTTTTTAGGTCTATGCCTGGTCCACTGTCGATTATACGTACGACAGTGTCGAAGCCAGAGATGCTGCCATTTACGACGGAGACTTCATCGCCGAGAATAATTTGCCTCTAGGCCTGGACGTCTGGCGAGAGAAAGTGTTCATTACCCTTCCGAAATGGAAAAATGGTATCCCAGCTACGCTGGCTACCGTGCCTAGACACTCGAAGACGAGGAGCCCGAAGTTGAGACCTTATCCTGATTGGAGCTGGCATCAAACAGGTTGCCAAACCATTTTCCCACTTCTCTCAATTTAATCAACGTTCGCTGCTTCGCATAATTTACTTTCCACTTGAGTTCTAATTTCACACGCAAAACATTTGCTTAGGGAGCTGCGACGGTCTGACTTCGGTCTTCAGAGTGCAAGTAGACGAATGCGATCGTCTCTGGGTCCTAGACTCCGGGAAGACAGAGGTATCTTCGGGTGGCAAGGCGACTTGCCCTCCGGCGATCTTCATCTTCGATCTGCTGACGGACAGCCTCATCAGGAAATACGTGTTCCCCGACGACCAGGTGAAGCAGGACTCCCTGTACACTAACATCGTCGTGGACATCAGGAACGAGGACTGCGGGTCAGCTGTGGCGTACGCGTCCGACGTGTTCCGATACGGTTTGCTCGTCTACGATTTCATGCAGGATTCGTCGTTCAGAATCCAGCATCATCTGTTCTTCCCTGACCCGTTGGCGTCGAAGTACGACCATCACGGTATAAAATTCCAATGGACGGACGGGATCTTCGCGATAGCGCTGGGCCCGGTCGACACCAACGACGACAGGACCCTGTTCTTCCATCCTCTGTCCAGCTTCCGCGAGTTCGCGGTGCCCACTTCCGTTCTGAAGGACAAGAGGAGCGCGGAGAACTACACCGACGCGTTCATGCCCATCGGCCTGCCGAGGGCGAAGGATTACGGACACTCCTCGGGCTCTGTCGTCGACAGGAACGGAGTGATGTTCTTCAACATGGTCACCAGGGACTCCGTCTGGTGCTGGGACACCAGGAAAGAGTACATCCCCCAGAACCTCGGAGTGATCGGCACCAGCAACTTGTCTCTCGTCTTCCCTAACGATATCAAGGTCGATCACGAGTACGATCAGAGCGTTTGGGTGCTGTCGAACAGCCTGGCTATGTATCTGTACGGCAGCATCGACAACAGCAAGGTCAACTACAGGGTGTTCAAGGCTAACATCAAAGAAGCTATCAAAGACACTATCTGCGACCCCAACTATATAGTGCACAGCTTCGGGCATGGCTACGATGATACTTGTTAAGAATTTCAGGATGAGAGGGAAGAAGTTTGGTGCTTTTTGTGTGGGAGTCGTTGGAAGCTCGAGTGTACAGACTTATTGCCAAGCACGAATTTTGTCATTTTGGTATTAACATTGGAGTTTAGGTAGGAGATTCTTTCGAAGAGTTTAAATTTGGCGCCACTGGAGCACGCGACGAAGCAAAATGGCGCGCAGAATTATCGCGAAGAGGAAATTCTATTGTACGTGGCTTGGAAATGAGAGATTTGATATTTTTAGAGAATGAACGTGATTTTTATCAATGAAAGATTCGTACGGAGGGAATGTTCCTTTTAAGCTAAGAAATGATCGAACAAATGACTATCTCTGTATAGATTGCGACGTATGATGAATTGAAGTTCAAATATAACGGTCACACGCATACACAGACAGAATAACGTATCGAGAAACGATGTGCGAGTTAGATTTATTATATTCAATCTGTTTCGCGGATTTACATGACATGTTTATTAACGAATCCACAAAGTCGCATGCAAGATACAAGTGAAAAATACTCACAAATCAGTACCTACGTGAAAGATAACAAATTTGATCGTACGAACCTTCTACTATTTTAAACGCACAAGAACACTTACTCGCTACCTCTTACCCGGGAGAATTGTACAATCGAATGTAATCGCAAGAAACGCAATCGGTCTCACGAAATCATTATAAACGAACGGAAAATATGTTTCCAACGGGATGTACTTTATATTTCGAAACGAGAAAATATACTTTTGTTAAATAAAAGGAACTGAAAATTAAGAAACATGAAAATCTATCGAGTTCGTCGGCTTCAAGTAGCTTCGCCGGACGTGCTCGACGCGGCTGAAAATTCTTCCATATCGTCAACGTCCAGTTTGCTGAACGAAACCGCGTGCGACGTGACGGATGGCCTCGTGTAAAGCGAATCGAAGCTGTCCAGAGCATCGAAAGCAGTTTGAAACTGCACTGGCGGAGAGTCTTCAGGTTTTCCGACTGAACCTTCAGCTTCCTCGTTCTCCATCGTTTTCTCTTCAACTACCTCTTCATTTGTCCCTCCTTTCTTTGAAGACTTCCGTGCTTCACCTTCCTCGATCACTAAGCTCAATTCCTTCTTCACAATCCTCTCCTGAATTCCTTCCGCGCTGTTCCCAGTTTCCACTGTCGCCTCGTGGACCGTTATAATTTCAGACGACGCTTCATCTCTTAAAAGAGACCTCGAGGAACCAGGTCGACCCAGTTCCTCGAACCTAAACGACCGAACTTCTTCTGCTGCCTGTAAATTTATCTTCTCTTCCAACTCGGAGACAGATAAATCCCTCTTCTCTGAAGATTCTTCATTTATTTTGTTGAACAATGGCGTTTCTTCCGCGACGCGTCCACTTGCGTTTAGACCTAGCTCCTCGGTTTCCCTCTTCAATTCCTCCGCCATTTCTTCGGTGTCGAATTCCGAGTTCCTCGACACTGATCTCTCAGCTGTCAGATCTAGGACCGCTTTCAGTCGTTCCTCGATCGCGCGAGAGATATTCATGGACTCGTAATCAACGGAGCTTTCGAATAACTCTTCGTCGTCCTCGGAACGAGTTCCGTCTCGAAGTTTGTTCAACAGCGAAGTTTTCTCGAGGAGAGTCGACGTCGATGTCGATGCCGCGTGCACGTCGTACGGTTTCAACGTTGAAGTGGCTCTCGAGACCTGCGTGAGAGAGAACATCTTCCGATAAAAATGTCGGATGTAGAAGAAGATCACCAGCAGCCAGAACATCACGATGATCTTGAAAGACGTCTCTTCTTTTAATTCTGTCACGTTCCCCTCTTGATCGGCGTCTGAAACTGGAACTTCTCTCGTTTCTCCGGTGAAGGGCTCGATCTCTTCGTAAGCGTCTTCGTCTGTCTCTTCGCAGTAGTCTATAATTATGTCAGGTTTTATCCAGCAGGAATCTAGTACCTGAAGAGGTTCCTCTTTTCCTTCAATATCGTCTACATTCGTGATAAATCGTACCGATTCGGTGTTGATTTTATTTTCTGATTCTCTCTTATCGCTTTCTCCGGAATTTACGGTTCTCATATCCTCTTCTTTCTCGTGTTTATCGAGGCTTTGACTTTCCTTGGATTCAACAGTGTCCTCAAACTTTCGTTCTTCAGCATTTCCATCAGTGCTCTTCGCAGTCTCTTCAACTTCTACTTCTTGGCAAGCTGTTTCTATCTCTTCTAATCCAGTTTCTCCTGTTGCACTGCTAAAAATAATTCCCTCGAGTTCTACAGCTTCAATCTCAGGCATTATTTTAGAGTTTCCAGCAGTCTCTTCTATACAAGTTTCATTAAGCTCAATTCCATCAGCTTCTCTTTCCACATTCCCTTCAATTTCAATTTCCTCGCTCCGACCTCGTTCTTCGATTCTTTCCACCATTCCTCCGACTTCAATGCTCTCTAACTTCCCGCTACCAGATTCCTCGTCAATATCCTCGATACCTTCACACGAAACGTTCTCAAGTTCTGCATGTCCCGTTGCGTTCTTGTCTCCAATCTCAGAACATTCTCCAACCTCCTCCGCTTCAAGAGAATTAACCTCCGCTATTTCATGCAAACGCCGAGCCTTGCACGTTCCCACTTTCTCCTCCCTCTCGCTTTCATCGATTCCTCCCACGTCCGTCTCGTCCGCTTCGTCTTCGTTCGCACTCTCCATTCCTATGACGTCATACGTGACATTCAGGTTGTCCGCCATCAACCTGCGAAGGGCAGGTTCCGAAAATTCCGACGATTCCAGCATGGAGTCGAGTTCGGGATCCAGAGGTCCATCGAAAGTCTCGTCCACCGCCGACTGGTACTCCTCCGCGTTGAATTCGTCGTCTGAGAGAGCCTCGTTCCCATCGAAACTCTGATCCTGCGTGTCGAAGTATCTCAAAGTCTCGGTGTCCCTTGAAAATCCGACTTTCTTCCTCGAGTCCTTTCGCGAGCTTCCTGCGACCTGTTCATCTTCCTCTTCGTCGTCGTTCGTCATCCCCGTGAAGCCACAGAAGTTCAATCCAAGCTGGTTCGAGTGCAAGCTTAACAGAGGATCACAGAAGATCCTCGATCCTGGATCCATCTCTGACCTGTTGATCACAATGGGGAACTTGATGTCGGTGAAGATGTCCTCCTTGATGAACCTGGGTATCTCCTCGACCTTCTTCAACCTCTGTTCATCAGTCTCCTCATCGTCTGTCGCTTCTCTCCGAAGATCCACGATCTCCCCTTCCGTTCCGTGGATCATATCCCCGAGAATCTCGAGCCTCGACCTGCTGAGGCTTTCCAGATCGAGTTCTCCGACGTTCAAGCTTCTCAAGACCTCGGCTATAGACCTGAGCACGTCGTCCAACTGTGCTTCACTGAGGACGGACTGCTGGTTGGCTTCGACGCCTTCGATTCCAGCGTTATCGGCAAGATCCGTGCGATCCACGGTTATGATGCAGAGATCGAGGGGTCCTAGAGGCTGGTCCGTGCCTGTGGCTTCCCGAATGGTAGCTAAGATACCGTCGAATCTGCTGGCTTGTCGAGAGACCGCTGGTAGCTGATCGTTGAAGAGATCTGCTAGCTCGTTGTTGGCCGATGCTGTTCTGCTATCGTTCAGGATCTCTTCAACGGTCCGAATTTCACCTGGAACGTCTAGCAAAGAGTCCATTGATTTATAAGACAAAGCGTTGTTCAATCTCCTGGCTGTTTTACTGTCGACGATGTCCCATTGCGTCGGGATTCCGCCGTTTCTGCTCTGCGCAGCGTTGGGGTTCGTCAGAATCACTCCGTTGCCTTGGTTGATGACTTCGACGTTCCTCGCGAGGTCCAAGTCTGGCCTTCCTGGTTTCCGATGATCTCGCGGAGCGCCTGCCTTTTGCTGCGCCGTTTCTCCCTTGACGCTCTCCGTGAGTCGTTCGGCCGTTGAGAAACGAGTCGATACCGATTTCGAGTCTTCGGACATCTCTGCTCCTTCTTCCACTTTCGGGAGGTCTTCGGCTTGGCTGTCTGCGTACGAGCTCTCTGAGCGGGAAGAAAACAAATTGTGCATTGAAAGAATAAAAAGATTTTCTACTCAAAAAGGAGTATAACATTCACGGTTCGTAATTACTACATTGATTGATAATTAAGAATTAACGCGAATTTATCAATAGTTTTGTGGTGTCTTAATCGAGAGGGTTCCAATAGAGGATCAGTTGCAGATCAGTCTAAATCAGTCTCGTGACAGGTTAAAGTATTTTTAAGAAGAGTGAATGTAAGAATGAGTCTGCGAGCTATATCGTTTCTATTTATTTGTATTTTACTCAATTATCTATTCCTGTGTTTTTTTAAAATAAAACATATTTAAAATACCATTAATACCACAAAATTAACCCCTTATCTATGTCAATATTACTCTACACTCTTCTCCTATATTCCACAAGAATACAAAAGAATTCAAAGACGAATGTACAAAGGTTCTCCAGCCGATTTCCTCACCTGCGACGCCAACTCCTCCGCGATCAATGGAACCGGAGGACCAAATCGAGCTAACATCCTCCACCAGCTTCCTCGCCAAAGTTAGCACCTCTTTATCCCCAATCTCAGCAGGACCAGTGTCCACACTCCAATGATCTCGATAGATATCCATAACTGTCACATTCCCTTGTTCTTCAGACCTAACCTGTACCGCAGCATCCACATCAGCAGATGGTCTACCCCTCACATCCTCCCTAGCTTCGGTTCTCTCCAAATCTCGACCCTTTTGAGCGCCCTCCAGCTTCATACTGGAACTCGGCGAACCTGTCACATCCTCCATCTGCCTGATCTGGCTCAGACTGTAATTAGTGTACTCTTTCCTCGAGTAGAAATCAGCAGCCACTCTCTCCCTCGCGTTGTCCCTGATCGTTCGACTCTCGTACAGCCTGTCGAAGTTCTCCCTGTCCTTGATCTGGCTAGCCTTTGGAGGCTTCGAGTAAGAGGACTTCTCGCTCGACCCACTGATGAGTCTGCCTGCATTCATCGCTGATCTGTTGCTTCTGGAAGAGGAGCTCACCAACAGGACCGTCTCGGTGGCAGCATCAGCCGACAGATTCTCTTTCCCCAGATCGTTCCTCGGGTTGCTCCTCTTGTAAGAGCTCCTGAGGTCCTCCATTCGATTGGGAGGCTCTCTGCGAGGTGTCCTCTTCTTGACTTCCATCTCCTGCTTGTCCTTCAACAGAGTGATCTCGTTGTAAGCCCTCAAAGCCCTCAGTTCCCTAGCTGCCTGCTCCTCGGTAGCCATCTTGCCTCTGCTCCTCGGCTTCGCTGCCTTCGGATTATTATTCACCGACTGCTTGTTCGACTGCTTAGACTCCACCTCTATTTTTCGACCGACAATCGGTTTCCTCAACGTCTCGCTGGCAACGACCGACTCAGTTTCCTTCTTGGAGCTCTTGGGATAGACCGGAGGCTTCTTCTTGGAGGCTGCCGGGTTCGCTTCCGGTTGACGAGCGACTTGGGCCAACGGAAGCGTCGCCAGACTCTCGATCTTAGGTTTAATGGGCCGCCTGCGACTAACTTCTCGCCTGTTCAAGCTGGAATCCGTCGAGGGACAGTACCTCGCCTCGAGTTTCTGCGTTTTGCACTCGCAAACGCTTTTGTTCGACGAGGATTTCGATAGGTTGAGCTTCTTGCTGTCGCTCGAAGGGGATTCGGGGAGAACCGGGGCGTTCGACTTGTTCCTGAAATACAGGGGACGGTAGTTCCTCCTCGCGGAGTGCTGCCTGCTGCTGCTCGCCGACGAGACGCTGCCATTTTGATCTTTCGAGGGCTTCCGCCTGA